GCAGCTGTTTACTTACCACTTTAGAAGAACATTGTGAGTTCAGCATCAAACTTCATTTCTTTACTCACCAACAGCTGTCTCCAGAGGTGGAAACAAACACCAATGTTAACTCTTGTCTCTATCATGCCTTTTCTTCTACTGAAGTTAGCATGCTAACCAGCTAGCCCCAGCCCATCTTTCTGATAGTGACTCAGTGCAGCCACCAATGCCCTGAAGATGTAGCTGCTCAGAGGACGTATTACAACCTCTTGTACTATAAACACAACAATGGCCGAAGTTCTTTTCAAGCGGCAATCACCACCATCTGCTCCTGGTAAGAAACCCCACTCAGCAGCAGAGAAAACTTGCAACAGAACCGTTAACACGGGAGGAATTATAAAACATTAAATGGCCAACTCAGTTGACTAGTTGACAGGAAAAACAGTGGTTGGCTCCTTTAGAGGGGTCTTTGTTTACATCCAAAACAAATGCATGGTAAAAGTAAATCATATCTCTCGCTAAGCTGGATCGGTAACCTAGAGTCTATATTCATAAAGAACCATGTTCATATTGTACTAAAAAGATTAAAAACAGTTTATAAACAAATCTGTGCAGCTTGTAAGCACTCAACAACACATATTAACAATTATCTATCAAAAGAAATATATCATGGTGCTACAGTTCATAACACCAGACACCAGACAGAGGCCAGCCTCAGCTGCTCTCTCAGGTGTTGCCTGGATCCTAATGCTAGACTCTTGTTTCCTTCCCTTCCACATGATGTTTGACATTTCTGGCAGCATGGTACTCTTTAGTTCCACTGCTACTGAGCCGCTGAAGCAGCTGGATTTAATTCAAGACTGGACATTAGTTGAGAGTATGGTGGAGGGAGTCCTGCCACCCCAACTGTTCCCAGTCAAATATCCATATCAGTAACTCAACCAGACAGCGAGCGAGGAGAAAAAACCAGAGCACCACAAACCCTGTGCCGGTCACAGTCGAGACATGTGAGCTCTCCCAAGATGTCAAACCTTTAGTGCAGCAGCGTTCTTCCTTCTCACGCACCTCTGTGCTGCTAACAGACAGATGGAGGATTGAACCTGGCAGCAGTGAGTGGTGCCAATTACCTGCTCCGCATGAAGGCCAGAAATATTAAAGACAGACTAATGTGATACAATTGGAAAAGATTTAGAGCTCTTGCTCTTACATAACTACAGCTCACTGTGGTGTATTTGGAAAAATAAAAATCTATTATGTAGTCAGCGCCATATTTGTCACTGACAGATAATGCAATCAATCAGTCAATCAATTAATTAATCAAACTTTCTGACCGACTCAGGGTCCAGATAAAAGACGAAACATTACATAGAACAAATTAAAGCACAATAAGAGAACATGGTCGGATGCCCGACAAAGACACACATGTGCCAATGTCTGGGAACACTTCATCTGGACTCTTCCCCATGGCGTCATTATAAGCTACCTGAAGTCTCTGTAAACCTCCTGTTCTGTGGTTTGACCACAAGAGTGCAGTAAAGAGTGGTGTACCATATCATCTTCACTCATCTGTACACACACTGAACCTGTGTAACAGACATTTGCTTACACACACATTCAGGCACGTGCACAGATACACCTCAGCTGGAGCTCCAGCACTTTGGCTTTTGACTAGATAACCTTTAGCAAGACTTTACTTCTGTTTCTTTTTCAAATTTTATCTTTAAGGTGTGTCTTGTGTTTAGTTATTCCTCTGCCTCCATTAGTAATAGTGACACATGTAATGAAAGTAGTTTATTTGCTGTAACAGGGACGATAGGCTCAGAGCTCAGTGAACCTTAAATATTATTTTTAAAATAGTGTCAAATAGCTCATTAAAATTTTGCTTCAGAAAAAGTAGCTGTATGGTCAACCACTGACAGTCTGCTGTGGCTTATAGCTGTAATACATCAATCATGCAGTCTTTGCTAAATAAACATCATATCCTACTGTTGGTGTATTTTTGGGAGATTAACCCTTAATTATTATGCACAAAATTGATTTTGCTCATTTACCAATAGCAGCATAATGCTCCCTTTAGTACACAGAACACACTAATTGCTGCAAATGAACATAAGTCTACATTGTAGTTTGGAGGGTGGATTGGTTGGTTCATTATTTTATTTTATTTATTTACAGAGCAGCTTTTTTTAGTTTTGAGTAAAAATGTGTTGATTAAATTATTATTTTATTGACCACGAGCAAAAAAACTATATGTGTGAAAACACTCTAACACACACACACACACACACACACACAGCATAAGTTCAATCAGGAAGACTCTATACTTAATTCATTCACAGTTCTCTCTCTCTCTCTCTCTCTCTCTCTCTCTCTCTCTCTCTCTCTCTCTCTCCCTCTCTCTCTCAAAGCCCACTTCTTATAATCAGCTGACTTCAAGTGTTTTCAGTAACCAATCTGAACTAGCCGATCACATTATTGCTGTCAAACTTTAAAATCTGTTCTCCTGTCTTCTGCTGTCAGCTTATTCTCATCTCACCTCCTCCACACCATCCAGCTCCAGTCGTCAGATCCAGGACCAGGTCCAGTTCATTAGAGTCCACATCACATCCAACATCACCAGTGTCTAGAGCCCAGGGGGGTTTCTGTACTTCACACAACCCCACCCCCTCTTCACAGATATTGACATCAGGAAGGAGTCTAATTGACACAGACTCTCTCACCTTTCACTTTTCCTCTCTTGTTTTGCACATGGCAATAAACGTTTATTTGTTGACTCAGAATGACATCTCTCCTGATTGAAATCTCACTTTTGTGATTTCTGCCTTCCAACTCCACGTAGCTCCTCATCCAGTGGTTTCAGTTGGGTTTGAAATATTTCACTCTCTCTAATGTAATAAACCGGAGAAGATAGGACTCTCTGATAAGTGTGAGGTAGGTGTGAGGGGGTGTGCCTGCTCTGCATGTGGGAATGAAACGCTCTTCACTACTTAATTTTTACATCCATTTCTCTAGACTGACTTCACTCAGAACTCCTCACACAGTTTTCTTTACCAACATGCATTTCAACACACCAGTTAATCTCATATTAAAAATGCTCTAATGCAGTGGTTCTCAACCTTTTCCAAATACTATATGATGTGGTCAGGTGGCAACAACATAAAAGTTCCTATCATTGTCTTCTCACAGTGATAGGTCTAACATTTTAAGTGTTTTTAAATATTATTTTGTCTTAAAACATTTAAAACATTATTCATACTTTTTTTTCATATCTTTTCACAAAAAATGTACTGTTTAGCTAATGATATGTCAGTCCAATTGCAATACCTTTGCTGCCCACCAGTGGGCCCACAGCTTGGGAACATAGTCTGTAAATAAAGATGGTTTCTGAAGAGGTTTTGAAGCTCACAGTGAGCTGCCCCACCATCACCATCTTGGCAGTGTCTGACTCCGACCCTAACTCCCAGCTAATCCAAAAATGGTCAGAGGTGGGGTGTGTGGAGCTGAGAATTCGGTGCATGCCGGTTTGTGGCAAGCACACGCTCATCGACCTGTCACTCAAAGAGGCCACATCCCCAATTATAAATAACTTTAAGCGTTATAAAATATACACAGGTGAGTTACATAAACAGTTGTCATGAAGGAGGAAATTAACTCTAGAGACGAAGGCAGCTTTCTGAACTGGGCTGTAAACATTTTTATTTCTGCTGTAAAGTCTGACATTTTATGGGGATATTTGGGGTTTTTTGACATGGGGTTGTGTACTCATGAATATTCGTTACATTACCAGCAGTAGATTCTGTTCAGTATTGTTATGTGTTGCTGTGTTTCCTTTGCACTTCATTTTTCAACCACTGAACTATCGTATTCCTACGCACAAGTGCATCTAAGGTGCACAGTTCAGAGGTTGAAAAATGTAGTGCCAAAGGAAAGTGCTGTTTTCTCGGGAGGATAAACTGATGAAAATATTCTACATGAAGCTACATTTAAACAGATATTGGATTGTTTTGGTGGGCGTTTTTAAAAGTGTCTAAACACGTTTTTTCTGGTGGCCCCGCCCACAGCAACACATAGCTCTGCCCCTCCGCCGGTCCCCGGTCGGCTTACCTAACTAGGAGCACGCTGAACACAATCTACTGCAGGTAATGTAACGACTATTCATGAGTACCTCACACAACCCCACAAGCCAAACTATCCCTTTAACATGGGAGTCTATGGGGATTGACTCACTGTTGGAGCCAGACTTTAGTGGTCATTAGAGGAACTGCGCTTTTTGGTTCTTCAGTGTTGGTTTAATTTTTCAGCCTTGGAGGTTGGTGCTTTGTTGGGAACCACTGCTCTAAGGCAACCACACATGTTCATACACATCTCAGGATCATCTCCTGAACCCTTGAAAAAAAAATTCACTTCATTTATTTCTGTTATTAGTGTTTTTTTCTGCCCAGACAAAAAAAATCTCTTGCCTTTCAGGGTTTTCATACGAAATAACTCATCTGATTTAATTTAAAAATACACAAATGTCCATTTTTTTCACAATATTAAACATATTTACATTTTCTAATGTTCTAACTCGGCAGAATTGTTATTTTTCACAGCCTGGACAAGATCCGTTTTTTTTCATGTGTGACTACTGTGAGCATGACAGACAGCTATCAACATACATATACATCATATCTGTGTAACAGCTGTCTGCTGCTCAGTCCAGAGCTCTGAGATCATCAAGGAACTGGAACCAAGTCTTCACACTTACACTTAAGAAGTGCCATGAATAAAAGCAAGTTTAAAGGAAAATTTCTCCCAATCGTCGGCCATCTTTTGAGCTATTTTGTTGTTGATGTTCCCGTGTTTCAAGATCTTAAGCATTTACCTTGGTGAGTTCAACATAATCATAAGTGATAATGACCACGATCAGGAAAATAAAACTCAGATTGAAAGATATTGTTTACCTTAATCAGTTAAATAAAACAGCTTTAATCAGGCCTGAATGTCTGTGGGGAAAACAGAACTGATGACAAGGTCCAGAGGAGTGTTAAAAGAGTTTAAAACATTTATTATGCATACTGTCAGGAGTCATAGAAATTAACTTAAATACGTGTCGTTTTAAGACTGGAGTTTCATGTTTGAGATACTGTCATTGTTTATCATCCATAATGTTCTCAGCAGAATGTAATGCAGCACTTTGTCATATTTACAGACATGGATTTGATTTATACTGATAATCTGTTAGAACTCTCATTTTACAACATGTATAGTACAACCACATCTGCCTTCACCACCAGGAGTCAAACAGGTCCCGTGTCATGTTACTGTGAAGGCTTATGGCTTTCCACAAACTTTACATCAGCAGGTACCACAACAACAGGTAACAACAAATCATTTACAACCCCTACAAACCACAGATTCATTGACTTTAACAAGCTGTGTTGTTTATTTTTATTTTGCCTATTCGGATATCATTCCCAATAACATTTTTACATTTGAAATACAGTGACAGATAGTGTTAGTGCAGTAAATAAGACAAGAAATTAATGAATGAGGCAAATGAAGGAATCTCTCCCCTATACCCCCTCAGTCCTACACCCTCTCCTTAATCTCACTTTAAATGGTTTTCAGCTATTTTACAGAAACAGGCCGGATCAGGTGAGCTGATCACTGAGCAGCCCTCTGGACAATCTCACTCCGCTAACCAAGTGATCAGCCTCTTCTTGCTGTTTTCATGATTCCAACGCAGGTACTTGCAGGTGAGAGGGGGCGGAGCAAAACATAGTAGTGACAGATAGGTCGTGCAGAGTCGACTCACTTAGAAGCTTGCCAGATGATGATGCCGAGTATGACGAGTACGATGGAGCAAACCATGGCGAGGATGCACATCTTCTTCCGGGACTTTTGCTGTGACACAGAAGCAGAGTGGAGGGTTACTGACAGGGTCGTCACTGACTGACAGCACTGAGGAGTGACTGCTGCACTCTCACCTGGTAGTAGCTGGCTCTCTGGAGCTGCTCTGCTCCTCGCTCTACGTGAACTTCAGCATTCTCCACATTTGCCTCGATGCTATCTGCGGAGCAGAACATACAGCAAGGTAAGCTGGGAACTAATGACATCACAGTGGAAACTGTTCAGGTTTGTAGCATCCACAGTAAAGCAGGTCATCTCTTCACTTGTGCCCTCCAAGCACATCTACTTTCTCAGAATTTAAGCCCTGAAAAAGATCCAATGTTTTAATTTTCCTGACAAGTAAGATTTGTGTTTGTGTGAATAATGGCTGTTGCCTGTGAGAAGCACTGAAACAGGGGGATGTTATTATAGTATGCACAAAGAGTCTGACTTTGACAAGAGAGCCCGTTATTCATATCACATCTCCTACACAGAGATCAGTCTCTAACCTTAAACAGGTCGTTTCCTCAACCAAACCTTCACCACTGCCAGAGCAGATTAGTAAAAGTTCATGTGAATCATTTATGGCCATAACAAAATCCACATGATCCATCCACAGCAGCAACTGCACTTACTGAGAGTGCACAGAAAAAACAACCTGGACAGAAAACTGCTGGTGGCCTTTTAGCGTGTTTCACAGTGTGGTACGTAGGCAAGCAAATAATATTGCAATTATTTTGGCAGATGTGACATGTGATTGCGACTTAAATTGAAATGGTCATTTTTACATTATCATTTTCACCGAAAAATATTTTTAAATGATGAGGTGATGAAAAAAAGCAGCTCCTGTGAATTGGATATTATACTTGGCAATATTGCGATTTCAATTAAATATTGATTCATTTTGCAGCCCTACTCTGCACCGCTGAGGATCACAACTCCTAATGTTGTTTTATACAGACCTTCCAATGGCAATGAAGGCTTTTTAATTCTAATTCTGATATACATTTTAGAAGGCAGTGACAATGCTCTCGTGCTTACAGGACACTGTTGTGGAAGCCACTGCGCATGCTCACAACTGTGTTGGAGGTTTTGTGTTGGAGGAAGTTTTTTCTTTTTCTCCAGTTAACATTCTGTATTAATATACAAACAAAACATAATGTAACCTCTCTAATAGTGACCAGGGCCTTTATGTACAGTGGACTCTCACAGAGAGCACAGCCTCCATCTGGGTAACAAACTGCCTCTCTGCTGCCCACTGAAGAGTAGACACAGAGAGAGACACTGGAGACTCTTCTACAGGAAGTAGCTGAGGTTTGTCTAGAAAGTCGACAGATTTGTCACAGGGTGTTTTTTTGGATTAAGTTACTGAAGATGCCTGAAAATGGAAAACTGTTGTGGCTCTGCTGTAAATGCCCCCTGATGACGTAATGAAAACAACATTCAGGGCTGCGGCAAAAACATCATTAAATAAAAACTGAAAAGAGTGTGTAAACTTTCAGTGTGCACTCTGCTGGTGTCCACCACAACCCCACTGCCACTCACCAATCATCTCTCCCTGATCGTGGATCATCACTGCCAGGTCCTTGAAGATCTGGTTCACGTCCATGATGTCAGACTGAAACAAACCAACAAGAAGCAGGAATCAGCTGTGGCAGTTGTGTGTGGTCCCAGGACATGACAGTAGATGGGGGTGGGGGAGTGGGAAGTGTTCATATTAGAAAGCAAAGGCTGACCTCCAGCTGTCTGATGTTGGTTTCTCTCTCCTTGATGAGCTCCAGGTCCTCCTCTGTGATGGCCACCTCCTCTGTCTGGGTTGTCATCTGACCCCAGTCCTCTTGGCTGTACACAAGGAAACATTTAAAAACATGTCAAGAGCTGGCTTAATGAGTCAACACAGAAATGAACTGTTACAGCAGAGTACTGAACACAGCTGGAGAGTATGGTGTCCACAAACTGCAGCTGCTCTTCCTTCCTGCTGTATATTCTACATTGTTTTTTTTTTCTCTTCCTTCTGAATGACAAAAACAACTTCTAAAAAACTTAAAAACAGAATCGCAAAGTCAATCTTTTACAAATGTCCCTAATTATTCTTTAACACTTTCACACATGTAATGTGTGTCCAGCCGAGTACATGTATTTGTCAAGTACCTTTTCATATGGAGGGTTTAAAATAAAGCCAAGTAGCAGAGTGAAATACAATACTCTGTACTGCTGCACTGTATTTCCTTCTTCTGTGCCTTTACTGTCATAACGTCATGAAAAACATTTGATTTCACTTTTAGTCTTTAATAGCTGAATGAATTGTTTCTCATCGAGATGAATTTTCAAGAGTTGTGTTGTGTTTCAGTGTTGTCCAGCAGAGGGCAGCAGAGACCTGCTGATACTAAATGCAAAGCACTGTCATTGGTTTCCATTAGGAAATGCAGCGAGCCATTTCTTCTTTGGAATGGAAACTGAGTTTGTGTTAGTGCCGTAAAAGTCCTGTCATAATCAAATTTTACCTGTTATTTTAATTTTCATTTCTAACAGATTGAGACAGAGCTGTGACTTTTCAGAGGCGACTGTCATCAGGTTCTGGGTCTTTGCCTCAGACAGATGACTTCTCATGGCCGTTTCAATTCTGCTCTGAAGACTGACCACACTCTCTATTGCCACAATGGAGACATCAGCGTCACTTCAGCCAGAGTTTTGAAGTTGGGGAACATTTCTCACAGGGAAGTGCTCTAATCTGACGGACGACCTTCACATTTTTCCATCATTGTTAAAAAAAAAAATCAGTAAATGACAGAAAATATTTGGTTCACATGACCCCTGGATGGAAATGCATTGTCCACGCCAAAAAATGAGAAACAAAAAAATAATCAATTGTCCATTCACAGCTTTGTTTGATAATGTTTCATATTTTTTGCAGTTAGTGTTTGCTGCCAGAACAGCTTCAATGCACCTCTGCATCAATCTCTGAACTCTACTGGAGGATGAACACCATTATTCCTAAAGATTTGATCTTTTGATGATGGTGGTGGAGAGCTGTCTAACAAATATACCTCGTTAGAGGCTTTTAATGGCTATATTCCTGTTTGTTGCTATTTATTTTATAATTTCTTGATTAAATTGGGTCTCCACGATCCACCCAGCAAAGTTCCATATCCCACAAACTGCCTGACGAGGAAACCCTGAATGAACGACAGTCACTTACTTGTCAAAAGAAACAAGCTTCTCATCACGAGAACTGTCTTCAGTCTGAAAGAGAGGGAAAAACACACTACTGTCAAAGTCATGGCTTTCTTGAATCTGACCATTCATCACTCTTCTCTCATGACTGCAGTTATGCTGCTCCTCCTTACTGATAGGCGGGAACCAGCCCTTGCTCTGGCGACTGACTCCTTTTCCCTCTCTGCTGCGCGCCGCTGGACCGCTTGGAAGTTGTTGAGAGCTGCTGAGAAATCATTCATCAGCCGGTCCCTCTGGATCTTCTGCTGCCTCTGGACGTCACAGAGCAGAGGGACACATACAATAAGAGACCAGTTGGAAAGACAAGGAAGAATTCATGGAGATAAAGAGGGTCACGTTTCAGGTTTTTTTAATCATGCCAAAATTATGAATCAAATTTAATTATCAGTTAAATCAGAAAAAGCTGTGGTGGGAGTCATCAAACCTCTGACAGGTCTGTCAGTTATAACCTTGATTATGAAATTAAAGTAGCAGCAATAACAGTCTAATAACTATACTGGATCCTCAAAATTACAACTATGAAATAAATTAAGTTTTGATATAAAAAAAAAAAAAACACATTCATTTCAAGATTGAAGGTTATCCGTAAATGGAATTTTAAAAATGGAGAGAATAACCTACAGAGAAGGAACACGACAGAGTACCTCACACATCCACAGGATAGAAGGTTTTATTACTGGACCATAACAGAGGTATGGGGTGAGAATCTTTTACAATCTCACAATTAAATTCAGAATTGACTCTAGAGTGTTCTGTGTGCCAAACCACTGACTCCTGTCCTGAGCCCACTGAGCCACAAATGAAATATAACAGTTAAGCTAACTCATCTTGATAAGCAGGGATCCAGATTCACTTTTTACACTGGGGCGTCTAACTTTTTTAATTCTAATTTAGATGCAACCAAAAACTTGCACCACTTTTTTTGGCGTTATAATATAATTTTAAGCCTTTTTATCATACCTGAGCCACAGAAACCGGATGAGCCATTCTTTGCGAAAGGCAGACTTTTAGGTCTCTTTCTGTGTTGTAGGTTGAGCCTCTGACTTGGAGTCAGATCTCCACCAAAGATGTTGGGTCAATATTGTATTATACCTAGTAACTGAGTATTTCCATTTGATGCTACTTTATACTTCCACTCCACTACAGTTACCTGACAGCTTTAGTTACTAATTACTTTAAAATTGAAGATTTTTCTCAACAGGTAATATAAGATATTGTACTATTATAACCACAGAGGGACTTTGCTCTTGGCTAATATTGAAATGACATTTACTCACTCTCTGCAGTTACATTAAAACAACTGATGAGCCATGAGGGCACCTGCTGGTTATATACATTTTAGTGGTGAATTTGGGGAGTTTGGATGAGCGTCTCCTCTACTTCTGAAGTCATATGCAAGGTCAAATGTACAACTTTAGTCCACTTTCATTTTTTGCTCCTGTGACACTAAAACATCAACAACATGGCTGACAGCATAGCCCCTGGGGCAACTTGGGCAACTTCTCAGCTACTGGGAAATCATAGAAAAAAAGTAAAGTTTGGAGGTGAGTTGTGTCATTATTAGTGCTGAGTGCAGAAGCTGGAGTGACAGCTAAATGGCACAGTCACTATCACTCCCACCACACTCATCAGTTCATGCTAGTGATGTATTAACAAATGTAGACTGACACTTACTTGCTCTGAGGGTGATGAGGGGAGAGGGATTGATCCCAGCTCTTTCAGGTGCTTGTTGGTTTCTTTTGCCAGTTGGTTAGTATAGTGTTGTATCTGCTGCCTGTGGAGACACCAGCAGTTTAGAATAACAAAAGACTCCCAGTCTCTCTACTACATGTGACAATACAGTATAGTGTATGTGTAGTTTAAGTGACAATCTAAAACTGTTTTGACATGCTTTCTGGATAACAACGATGTGTGCTTTAAAGTTACTATCCCTGATGTCAGAGACTCAGCAACCAAAAGGACAAATTTGATTTTGGATGACACAGATGGTGGGGGAGATCATAACAGATCAAGGTGACTGTGTCTGTGTTTGGTGGAGAGAGAAAACAACATGGGAGTTAGTGGAGAAAAGGTTGATACATACAGACGATCCTGAAGTTCACTGGTGTCCTGTCTGGTCCCAAGCTGGTTCACCATGCTCTTGATCTGAGCAGCTGTCATGAAAACATGCACAGTGATGAGTCTCAGTCTTGATAATTCATACTGTCATTACAGCTCAGTCTCATACAGAGGCAATTCAAAGTACTTCACAGAGTGATAGACAATAAATAGACAAACGCCATCGTCTGATCTGGAATGAACTCTTGGAATTTGGAGAATAAAGCTGCCCTGGGACCTGAGGGACCTGCCCAGTTGAAAAAAATGGGAGCATGTCAGGTGTTTTTTATAGAACAGAAGGAAAGTTTTTTCCCTCTCTTTCAATTTCTTCAATTTCTGACTCAATTATATAATAATAATGGATAGGCAGTCAGTGAAGCTGTTTAATAACTGGAGTGCTATGGTCAAATGCAACTGCATTTCGAATAAGCTAGAGCCACTGAATGGATCTAACAGGAGGTCTGGGAATCTAGTCTGCTGTTTGTGAATCTGCCTGAGAGATGAAGCTACATATCTGAGGTATTTCTAAGATGATGGAAGGATACTTTGTTGATGACTAATGTTACTAATCTTACTAATGTGTGAAGTAAAATTCAGGTCAGCCTCAATATTACTCAGTCAGCGACTTGGCTTTTGCACCGAATACTATGATATCTGACTCATCTCTGTTCCGCTGCAGGACTATTTGTAAAATTCAAAGATGAACATCCTTCAAGTAGTTGAACAGAAAATCCAATGTGTTCATGTTATCAGAAGGACAGTGGGGTATTCAATTGAGAATGATCTGCATAGCTGTAACTCATTTTGTGTTTGCTGATGACAGAGCAAAGTGGAAGTATATACAAAGAGGTCCAAGAATGGATCCTTGTGGGACTCCATATAGCACATCAAATCTATTTGAGCTGATATTAACAGCTGCCAAGCCTTTTGATTAAAATGTTGATGGTATCAAAAGCCGAGCCCAGGTCAAGCACAACAAGCAAAGAAAGATGATTTGCATCAGTGGTAATTCTTATGTCATTAATAATCTTGATGTGAGCTGGTTGAGTAAAGTGAAGATGCTGTAAACCAGACTGGTATTTGTCATAAATGTTATTAGTGGTGAGGTATTGGAGCAACTGAAAATAAACTTTCTCAACTAGAAAATGTCTGGAGACATTTTGAGTGTGCCTGCTGCTTGGTGTGTATCAATCAGCTGTCAGATGCTGTGTATTGGTACAAGTGGATGTGAGGGAGCACTGCATGGTAGCCAGACGATGGATGTGACGGTAGCGTTCACCCAGGAGTACCTGAAGGACTATGGGATATTTGTGGCATTGATAGTCCTACTACCATCTCAGTGAAATGGGTGCTAATGTGACCAGTACAAGTATTGATGGCAGCAGCTGTATCATAGACTTTCGTGTGGAAACACACACACACACACACACACACACACACACTCACACTCACACTCACACTCACACTCACACTCACAGTTAACCCTGACCATTGGCATCAAGGCCTTATTAATATCATTATCACTCCTGTGTTGAAGCTGCAGTCTGACATGTCCTGTAGAAGAGGACAACATGGATGACGGTTAAAAAGGCTAAGAGTTAATAGATATAATTTCCCAATCAGAGTCGGGTTAATCCACTTCTGCCCAGAAAATGCTGAATCATTAAGAACCAATGAGACACTGGTTGCTATGGTGACTGAGGCCCCCAGGAGCAGCATGGAAATACGCAGACAAACCACTCTATCCCTTGGCAAACAACAGCTTATAAGCCAAAACCTCTCATCAAAAATGCCCTCATAGTTAGAAAAGTACAAGTCCTATCAACAAAGTTTTTTCACTGCGAGCATCCCAACACTTCAACACAGACAAAGATGTATTATATATGAACCTGCTGTTTATGTTTTGGAGCTGACGCCATGTCAAAACTCCCCTCACCTCTGTTTGTGACAGGAACTTGTTTAACATGGCCATCTATGGCAGTGTTGACAGCACTCTCTGCACTGAGGGGGGATTTCTTCAAAAACCACAACTCATGTCACAGTGAGAGTAACACTGGGTGAGAGAAGACTCATTTCTCTACATTTCTATATGTTAATTGTCCATGAAGCTTGGAAATTGTGGCATTTAAAAGAGTTTTTTGGGGGGATAACTTTTCAGGTATGTCAGTTAGAGTGAGTATGATGTCACAGACTGCCAACATTACGAGCAATACACATTATTGTATTATAAATCTGAAACGGTCTAAAAATTACATCAAACTTAAACTGTGTTTTCGTAAAAACCATCATAGCTATCAAATTAAACGTTTTACCCAAAAGAGCTCTTGAGAGTTGTCACCCGTTTAAAGTTTCAACCATGCTTCTAAACCATATCTCAACCATGTTAAATGGAAATGTGTAATGTAAGTTAGTGATGAAGATGATTCTTAATTAAAAAAGATCTGATCAGTCAGTGTTAGACGTGGCTTTAAATATTAATAGCTTATCTACAGGGTAAAATTACACAAGAAGCCTAATTCTCCTTTACAATAATTCACTACATTTTTACAATCAGGAAGGCAAACCACCATGCCAGGCGCCACCAAATTTGGGGGACTGAAGCCAACCCCAGCTAACACTGGTCCAGTGCAGGGTACACACTGGACAGGTCACCTGTCTGTCACAGGGCTAACTGTTGTGAGATGACAGTGCTAACCACTGGACTACCGTGCTACCCTAAAACAAACAAACAAAAGATGTTTCTGGAGGTAAATGTGGTATCGCATGGGGCATGTTCGTGTCCTGGTTGTTGAGATGTAGACAATATACTGTGGTAGCAGCATTCCCAGTTTGACTCAAATGCATGTTCTTATGAATTATAAGTAATCTTCAAAAAAGTCTGATAAAAAATGGGCTCCGCTTTATAGAAAGTGATCCCCTTTGCAGCCCTTGGCACTCACAGACATTCAGAGCACCATTAAGTCTGTGACTTTACAGGGAATTCCAGACTTTCAGAATTAGCACAAATAAAGACAAAGAGTAATAGTCAACCACAATCAAACAAAATATTATTGAAAATATGGTGGTGAAAATTGCCTTAAAAGCAAGAAGGTTCAGCACAGTGGGGCAGACTGCAGGCTGACACAGCATTATCCAACACCTTCCCTCAGTCAGTTAGTGAGTGAGTGAGTTTTTTGGGCCATGGCCACAGTCTTACTCACACTGTCGCAAAAAGAGCTACTGCTACATAAGTGAAGCCGTGGAACACTCACTGTTCTGTGTGATCTTCTGGATGTTGGAGCTGCATGTTTGTATGAGGGTGTTGAAGTCCCGTGGGACAGGGCGGAAGCTCTCTGCTTTGCCGTATGACATGTCTGCCAAAAGGAGCTTTTGCCTTTGGAGTTGAGCTTTATCTGCAGACAAACAGAGACATTTTTGAAATTAGAATCAAATCAAATGTGTTCTCCAACAACTGCCAGATTTGTTATAGGATGTGAAAAGGCAAAACAATAGCAATGACAGCATGAGCCCAATACTGACCACTTGTACAAAGAGCATTAGTACAGCTGATGTAAACTCAATGACATCCTGACACAAGAAAGTGGGAAGAAGTTTTAGTTTTTTTAACGTTAGGTTAATGAATATAACTTTACCTGGTGGAAGAATAACTTAGCCTCTGTTGCTACGCGTGGCATCGCCTACTTACAGTTCCAGAAAAATGAGGATGTCATTGTTTTATTGACGGGAGAGATTTACCTATATAAAGGTAACTTCCAAATAACAACTGTTAGCTTGCTAACAAGTTAGCCTACAAACGTCGAATCACTGAAGCTCATAGAAATGAAAGATCGTGGCAGACAGACAGATATTTGCTGAACCAGAAAGCGAAAGTATTGTTTATTGTTAAAGTATTGTACTCAGTTGTGGTCTACATATTATGCCACTTAGCTAAACTCTATCTTCCTCTGTTTAGCTACCAACAGTAACTTACAGAAGAGGGCGTACAGAATTCATCTATTCACAGCTGTTAGCTTTCTAGCTAACTGACGTTAACTTGCTTCATTTGTTTAGGATAACCTGGCTACCTTGAAATAGCTGTGTCTGTTCTCGACCAATTTAGACTTAGAGATACAACATACTGTCAATGAGAGCAAAGCGTTTCATTCGTAAAAACAATGTAATACTTGCTTATTTGGCTGTTTCGAATGAACACATAGGCGTAATGTTTTTCGTTCTGCCGTCGAGATACTGTTCTTCCTGATCTGTGACGCAGTCACGTTACGTCAGGCCACGCCTGCGCATATCGATACAGGCGGCACTGTGACTGGTCCAATAGGACTGATCAGATAATACAGAGAGTTCCATGAAGTAAACCGACGCTTCACCTTTCAATTTTGAAAATGAGAGATTTCAGTTTTTGGTTTTTTAATACATTTTTTTTAAATCTAAAAACATGTCTTCACTTTGTAATATGAGTATAACAAACAACATGTAACGAAGTTACATTACATTGTTTGATGTGAAAATGAACTAAAGCTCCAGCCACATGATTGGCTGATTGGATAATTGTATACATAAGTAGGTGTACAGGTGTTCCTAATAGAGTGCTCAGTGAGTGTATATACATGCTCATATGTAACCCTACAGCTGTCCCACCTGATTCACTTCTCCCAGACCTTGTTCTTCTCTTCCTCTCTTCAGACCTGCCTTTCTCCAGCTGTCCACCAGATATCCTTGGACTTTGCCTCCTTCTCTCATAATCTGACTGCCCTGCCCATCCACACACCTCTTCCCAGTCATCATCAGCCCTGCAGTCAACCAAACTTTCCCCCACCGGCACCTCATTCTGTAATCATCCTTGCCCTCCAAGGCTACACTTCACACTTCATCAGATCATCTGCCTCATGTCTTTGTGTTCTACCTTTCCTGCTACCTGTGTGTAGTAACCTGTTGTCTGAACCTGCCTGTGTGTCTGTGACTGGGTACAGTTCATCCACTGTGAGGCCTGGTGATAAGAGTGGCACTCCTTTTGTTTTTTATCCTCTTTATTGAAGTAGAAAATGTACAACAACATATGGCAAGTGATACATCTGTACAAGAAAACAAAGCACACAAAACACATACAATCAGTACAAACTGTAAAGGCAAAGAATATACAAACAAAAAATAAATCATAAATAACACAGCTAAGGGGACACTTCTAATAACTGAAAGGCATCACTTATGTTCAGTAGTTTTCTTTTCTTTTTGCAGCTTTCTTTTCCATATGATTCAGTGTTTTGCAGTACAGATCTAGTTCTCTCATAAAAAAAAAAAACACCAATAAGGGTCGTGTCTTGATACATTAACATTTATGGATGAAACATTTTCCTAAAATGAATACAGTATTTAACCAAAATTAAGCTTTCTTCTCTTCTCTAATGGTTCCACATGAAATATAATTTCTGGTAAAGACTGAAAGAGAAGAAATTTTGGAATTTAGCCAGTCATACATATCACACCAGAAAGTGTTACTATAAAGATAGAAGAAAAATAAATTATCTGTAGTTTCTATGTCTTCATCACAGAAAGTACTAACATTATAATAAGAGCTGAATCTTTGTCTTAAGAGTTCTTCCAAAGGATATATATCATTAGACACTGACATTGAAGTGAAGTTCTCCTGTTTTTGGAGATAAAGGTGTGAGAGTTCCTCCTGAAATATTTGCAAAAAGACTATGGATCACCTTGTTTGGGAAATTTTTTCCTGAGAAATCATGTCCATGAATCATCAGTACAGGGAGAAAAAATACTTATTATTAAGTAATAATAAAAGAAGTTGGTATACCATACTTGATGTTGTCATATTGTTTATGATTTGCAGTGGAAATCAAGTTGCCAAATTCATCTAATTCAACGCAGTGGATGCATCATTTCCTGTATAACTGGCAGTGATGTCAATATGAATAATGATTATCAGGATCTTGCAGGATTTCAGTGGATTGTTGCTGGAGCTGTTGGTCACCTCACCTTCTCATCGGTTTAAAAACTTTATTTGCGTCATGACATTCCTCTAGCTAACACTGAAGACATGAGTAAAATGCATTTCCATTACTTTACTCTTTGTTCACATTTTGTGTGTGTGTGTGTGTGTGTGTGTGTGTGTGTGTGTGTGTGTGTGTGTGTGTGTGTGTGTGTGTGTGCGCAGACTGATACCTTACCTCACCACTCTGGTCCTCAGTGAAACCAGACTCTGGTGAATGGGGAGTATGACACCTTTGGAGAGGCCAGCAGTGTGTGTTGTGACAGCTTTGGTTACTGTGGTCACCCAGATTGAAGGTCAGTGTGTTCAGTTCAGGAAACTCTCCACATTGATCTCTGGCACTGAGAAGAGCTCTAGATATTTAGCCTCTATTCTGTTAGCACAAGATGCTAAACTTTATAGCGCAACAATACCAACTAGCGCCAGGGAAATCCATTTCTGTATCCATTAAGTATTTAGATTAGATTAGATTAGATTAGATTAGATTTATTCTCATTGTGCAGAGTACAGATACAAAGCCAATAAAATGCTGTTAGCATCTAACCAGAGGTGCAAAAGAATAGTATTAGCTACAGATAATTGTGAGTATAAACAAGTACTACAGCATGAGTGATGCTATGTATGTCCAGTGTTATTAACAGTGGAGTATTTCCATATTATTATTAAATGTATTATACACTTCAGTGAAGTGGACATAGTTGGAAAGGGGAGTGTATATGCAAGGTCAGTTGACAGTTGGTTGCAATGGTTGGTTGTGGTACTGAGGCAGTGCAGTGTGATGTGGAGTTCAGTGGGGTCACAGCCTCAGAGAAGAAGCTCTTCCTGAGCAGAGGCTCTCGTAAAACCTGCTGGATGGAAGGAGGAAAATGTCCATGGTTAAAGTGGCATGTATTCTTGATAATGCTGGTCACCCTGCCCAGGCAGCGTTTATGGTTAATGCTCTCCATGGTGGGCAACTGTTTTCACCATGCACTGTAGTGTTTTACAGTCTGTGTGGAGCAATTGTTGATACTGAGATACAGTTGGTGATTATGTTCTCAATGGTACACAGGTAAAAGTCCACAGGTGAGCTTTCTTAAGGCTCTGCAGGAAGTAGAATCACTGTTGGACCTTTTTGGGATGGAGGAGCTCAGAGCCCAGGTGAGATCATCAGAATAATAATAAGCCCGAGGCATCTATTAATATTCCTCAGACTTATTATTATTCTTCCGCCAAATTTTGGCGCGTAACTCGTCCCGCAGCTTTGAGAAAACCCCGGTAATATATACATCAAAACGTGCGTCTTGATCCGGAAAGAGGTGCTATGACTTTTGGTGTTAAAATTCCAATTTTTCCCCAAGTTATTCCCAAAATACTGGGAATAAATAATGCATTAGGAATGCATTGGAATATTCTTTAAAAAACCACAAAATTTCACCTTTTTTCTGAGTCACCCAGCTCTCTCATACCTGCACGTAGAAATGTGATTCAAACTATAAAACGGAGGAAAACTTCTGCTCTCTCCAAAACACAGCAACTGTTTTTACATAACATGTAAACTTTTCAAACTATGAGCACTCAAAGGAGGAGTGGAAATCATTTTTACTTCAAAGTTAGAGTGAAAGCGTTAGTTGGCTAGAGTGCGTGAAGCAGTAAAAAATAACCTTTATTTTTATTTTTAACTCGAGCTCACGGCCAAACCGTAAAAAGGAGACAAATAATTCTTTCTGAAAATGTAGACATAGTTGTTGGGATTCATAAAATGTAACTTTGACAGGCAGGGTCTGCACAAAATTTAAATGGGGGTGCCGAGTCCGGCAGCAATACCTGTCTCACTCTCATTGACACCTAATGTAATCGTCTTTTTCACTCTCTCTTCGCACTGAGCTTACTCACTCATTTTAAGGAATATCTGAATAAAATAGAGACTGTAAGAAACTTCTGGCTTCAGTGTCTGTCACGGTGTTTTCGGTTTTTGAAAAGAAGTAACGGTTTTCTCATAATTTGCAATTGTTTGAAGCCATGTAGAAGCCAAATTCTGGGCAGATTTTCACATTGCTATGGCAACGGCAGCTCCTGACCTGACCTCTGACAGCCAAGGGCTGCATGATGTCATCGCTACAGTGACAGAGAAGATTTTTTACCCTAACCCTAACCCTATCCCGGCAGTAGCCCCCGTGGCACTCAAAATTTCCCTGGAATTTTCTAGTATACTAAATATAATAGCTATAGTCTCAACTAAGGATAGATTTGTATGTGAACCAGCCTTTGCTGAAGTAAGTTTGTTATAGAATGAAACCTGGAGGGAATAAAGTTTTTTTTTTTAATGTTCTGAAGGGGCCTGGAAATAATGGTGTTAGAGAGCAGAATATTTGTGACTCCAGTAAAAGTAAAGTTAAGTGTTGGTGAAGAGGTCTAGACTTGGGATCTGGATCTGGACTTTTTTCTCCAAACGAGTAAAAGAGGTTTTGTGGAAGCAAAGTTTGGAAAGTGTTTTTGTTGTATTGGTAAATAAAAGTTGCAAAAGAAAATAAAAATCCATATATCTAAAGTTTCTTCTAATGATAATAATAAATAATACTTCCACTTCCAATAAGCAAACAGTGTGGTACTGATAATTCCCTGATGTACACATACAACAAAACATGCAGCTTCTCTTGTGCAGGGAGTCCATTTTAATTTGAAGACTGAATCTATTAATATCACAAAATCCATCTAATAGAAAACATCACATAGAAATACCATGCTATTAAACTGTACCATTAACGGAGCTTTGAGGAGGCAGAGTAGCACATGTGCTCTCTACATCAGGTCATTCTTGGTCTTAACAACACAAAAATTCATCAAGTATAACAGTAAAACCACAAGGCATTAAGTTTGGTTTGGAACACATTGATATATGAGGGTGTATTAATGACACCAACACATTACCATCATATATCAGTGCAGCTAAAAGGTACACTGGAGATAAGAAAGTGCAAATAGTTGAACAGGGTTTCAAGTCAGTGCATGTAGACCACTGGGGCTTCATTCAGGATGATTACGAACACACCTTCAAAATGTCATAAACTGCATTACGTGTGACCTTCATCGTGTGGGGACATTCAGGTTCAGTTTAAGTTCTGTGTGTGACAATGCTGATGAAGCTCATACACATCTGTTCATCGCAGACTTTGCCCCATCCTGCTTTCTTTATCTTCCTCTCATACAACCACTCTCGTTTTAATGCCTAGTACATGCAGTGAAACAATGGTAACCCACGGTGGACCTGAAGGAAACAAAGTCTTCACTATAGAGACAGATACAAACAACACTGTAGGTAAGTACACTTAGATCATAGGTGCATGACAGACAAAAGAGTCTGTATTTCAGCGTTAGGTTAATAAGGTTTGCTAAAACTAATGAATGTTCCATATGTCTAAATGAAACTATACTCATGCACAAGAGTCAACAAAAATCCCAACTGAAACACCCTCGTTTGAATGTGATATCATCACAGATATATTGGTATTTGGGTCGTGACTTCCAAACAGCATGTATTTTGCTTGAACTGATTCAAATGCAGCCCAATTTTAAATAAGACATGGCCTGTTGTGCTTTTTTACCAATTTGAGGGGTGGTTTGAATTTTGAAAAATAAAGAGAGACCATCCAAAGCCCAGAAATCCCAAAGATGTGTTTGAAGTAAATTAGAAACAGTCTCAACATTACATTTGTCCACCACAAAGCACTTCCAAGTCACAATTGTGGGATCCTAACATTTGTTCACGTGATGTGTTTATGTTAAAAGACAAATATTGCTTTCCATGCAGTCATCAAATATCAGCATAAGCCTAATGTGGGCTTCATACTGTTTCTGAACTGCTTCAGAAAGGAGCCAGGGACTTAAATTTCTCTCTTCTATCATTTGTTACTCAAATGTGTGGCAGTTTTCATGTGAGCCACTGTGTACAACTTCACTCTTCACTCTGCCCTCCAGTGTGGCTGTTTGGAACAACTATAAACACTTTTGTCTTCTGACAATGTCTTACAAACCTGCCTGAGGCTATGTCCACACCACATTTTACAACTTAATCGTTTTCTGTCCAGACTAACACACCTGAAAACACATATCACATGACCATTCACATGGGGCATGCATGTGCGCGCATAAACAGGAAGCAGATTGTCTACTCTACAGCTGGTTAGTTGCAGAAAATACCACGACTGAGGAACAGCAAACAGCTGCTGGCAAAAACGACAAGGTCAGTAACGCTAGCAGTCGAGGCTGATGAGACCGAATCAGGGAGCGACTGTGGTTGTCTATGCCGTTTACAAAGGACTCTGTCCATTTTCCAGTTTTTGTCCATCCAGACTACAACGCAAGCACAGACTTTTCAAACTAAAATAGATCCAGCAGAGTTAGAGTTGTGTGGACAGCAGGAGTAAACATAGAAAAAGAGTTTTAAACCTAAAACGTAGTAGTGTGGACGTAGCCCTAAAATCCCTAAAAATCTCAGTCAGGCCCTGATTTAGGTCTTCACGGGATATTAACTCTATTTTGAAAACCATGCTTGTGAAGCTATTGAGACACTATTAGAAAAAAATGTTCCTAAACCAAACTGAGTATTAGAAACTGTCAAGTAAACAAAGTTGGCACCAAATGCTTGTTAAAAGTTATAGAAAAGTAAAGGTAAGGTGGAGTAAAAAGTGTCCCGTCTGTATTGATGAAGTAACTTAGGTATTGTAGTGGCACTGGTATAAACTTCATCCAGCTCTAAACACAACACATTGAGTGATTCTTGGGGTGATTCACTGTATCAGAGGAGAAATCTAACAAATCTAAGAAGTCTTCACTACATGCAATACAGGACACTGCACAAGTCACACAAACACATGCTGACGGTGTTGAGGCATGCAGACCATGGCTGGCAGCAGTGTGAGCGTTTATTCAGGTCTGATCAAGATTGTGCAGGGGGTGCAGCAGGGTCAGATGATGGTCTTGAGCTCCTCGTCAGTCAGCTGGTTGACCACCATGATCTTCATCAGTTCCTCGACATACCTCCCCTGGTCCTGCATGAAGTGTGGGATGCGGATGTTCTCCATCTGAGCCACTGGTTTCAGGCGGTCCACATCTTCGAACGACACCTGAGCCCACAGAGAAACAACAGTGACAGATTTAGCAACCTTTTCAATTGCAGCACAAAAGTGAAATGATGAAACTGCTGTATATATGATGAACAATTAGAAGCCTTAGTTTTATTATTTGATGAGAACCTAAAACTACTGTTGCTGTAAGAGTGGGTTGATTTCATAACAAACAAATCAGTCATTAAATCATGTTGAACATCAGCTGGAACGTTGTTTCATCATGAAAGGCTTCAGTTCTTCTGAAGCAGAAGAACACGGTCTGTTACATAAGCTTCATTCAGCCCTGCTCTCCACTTATTTTACTGGACTATGTGTCTCCCATGTTCAAATGTCCAACTTTAGCAGCAGAAATAAACATGTTTACAGCCTGGTGCAAAAAACTCTCACCTGTGGATAATCCAGGAAGCAGTTACTGTATTTAATGCAGTTGCTGTTTAGTGACTCAGGACACTGACTAATACCACTTTAGACAGAGATAGTTGAGATGCCTCACCTTTCCCAGAGCCATCAGCAGTGGGAAGTTGATCTTGTCCCTGTATCTTAGGATCTTCAGGATGCCATCCAGGTAGACCTGGTCTTTACTGAAACACCCTGCAATGTGAGAGGTCAGAGAGGATGACCAATAAAAATTTGACTGTGTGATTTGTAGTCCCTCCAGGATTTCGCAGGCTTTTTTTGGGATTGTTGCGGCTAAAATACCTGATTTCACAGAAGCTTTTCTTAAAAATTGCAATGAATGTTGCAATGTTATTAGATGTTTTTTTGCAATGATTTTGCAAATATTGTCACTATCTTTTTATGTATAATTCATTAAAAATTGAGGGCAACTTGTACCAGTGAGAATAAATCCAGTGCAGCGCAGGTTGTGATGCAGTCACACGGTCACAAATCTTATAGGGAAAAAGAACAAGTGATTACGCTGCTCTGCTCCGTCTTAATCACAGGTAGAGATGATCTTTATAATAACCTCATGAATATTTAACGTAGAGCCCCCACCCCCCGATTTCTGCCTATGAAACAGTTTCATCATGAGTGAGTGATGGATGACAGGATGTTTTCTGTCTTTTCATCTTTACTAATTAACAGTTTCATTCACAGAGCAGGTCAGAGGTTACTGCCAGCTACTGGCATCTTTTAAGGTGGAATTTTTTCTTGAGTGTTACTTGATGCATGATTGACGTTTGGAAATCAATCAATACACCTTAAATGTCAGTTGGCAACTTTGAATATTTAATTTCTTTTTATCATCTCTCTACATGACTGACTCTTTAGTGATGATCGGATCTTCAACCACTTAAAATGTATATGTATATGTAACCGCATTATGTGAACTGTACATATTTTATTTCATCTGGAGAAAAAAAGTAGCGGAGTGTCGTTCAGGTGGCTCCAACAGCTCTAACAGTAATGTTTGCTGGTAAATGTGAGATGTTAATGTCACACGTCTGCAGCTTCACAACATGCTTCAAAACCAGAAACAAGGAAGTGAGTTTGGTGACGTACATCAAGGTTTTGCACAGGGACTGGTATGATTGGTTCAACTCACGGTAAGCTATGATGATTTTTGATCAAATTTGCAGAAAAGTTTCGGTGATCGGATTAAGATGCAAGGTTGCGCAGGGTTCACAGGGATTGGTTGAATTTGTGTTAATTATTGCAATCGCGACTTTCTGGAGGGACTGGTAGACGGTTAATATCAATATTTTGAAGGTTATTTTGACACAAGTTAGACTGTCTCTAAGTTGAGTATGTAATCAAGTCCAACATTGGTTGCACATACAGCAAACTCTTTTGAATCTTAAATCCTGTCTAGTGACATAGTGACCTGGCTGTGCTGTGTCGGTCTGGCCTCTCTTGGCTCTGACACAGTAGTCCCAGCGGGTGTTGGGGTCCTGGACAAAGCGTCCCAGGTTGTGGAAGAGCTGAGAGAAGGACATGTGGCTGGCCTGGTAGACAGTGTAGTAGAGGAGGGCAGCGCGCCACAGAGTGGGGTCTTTCCTGAACAGGACACTGTGGATGCTGGCCAGGCCCTCCTCTGTGGGGTTCAAGGGCTTCAGGTTGTGCTTCTTCCTGCCCATGCTGCTGCTCCACGGCTGGTGGCAGTTGTTGATGCCTCGGAAATAATGTGTGCCTGGTGGAACGGGACAATACATACATTATGTTCAGGTTCAAATTGAAGCCAGCTTTATTAGTAGGAACATCCGTTAGATCCTTGCCATGGTCTACTGATAGTGTATCAATATCAACAGTCATAATAAATACAGGATAATAATCAGACCTGTGATTAGAGTTATTTTTTCAAATATGAATGATTTCCCATTGAGCTGGTGCCCTCCCAGAGGGAGGCACCACCCCACACTAAGAATAAAATATACTGTAAGCCTTACAGGGGAGTCCCACTGTACCCACCGATCTCATGCCTCAGCATGCCCTCCAGCCAGTGCTCTCGTGCAGTGGAGATGTTGATGGTAAGTGTGGGTCTACTGTTCACCACTGTCATGGAGGCTCTGGACAGGAGGTCATCTGTCACCTGGACTACTATCTGTCAACACAACATCCATAGGACCACTGCATTAGAAAAATAGCTTAATTAACAACTCATGACAGCCTGTATTACATATGAGCTGGAAAACAGTGTCCAAGAGCATATGTTCCCATTAGTGAGTGGTAAGAGAGTTACAGCATCTATCTATCTATCTATCTATCTATCTATCTATCTATCTATCTATCTATCTATCTATCTATCTATCTATCTATCTATCTATCTATCTAGCTACCTGTCTGTCTGTCTGTCTGTCTGTCTGTCTGTCTGTCTGTCTGTCTGTCTGTCTGTCTGTCTGTCTGTCACTGATGTAAAGGTTTACAGTGAAATTTTATGGGAGTGAATTTATGGAAAGTATGGCCCCAAAGATTCATAAAGGTCAGATTCACATTCACTGAGCACTCAGCACAGACAGCTACAACTTCACAGCAGTGCCTCTCAACAGCATTACAGCAATACATTTAAAACATTATACTGTGTTCTGATGGGTTTTCATTGAGCTGGATTTCTACAAAACAATCACTGACCCAACACTGACCTTACAGTGACCCAAGGGTTCTCTGGGCTATTAAGAATCGAAAATGCTAAGTAGCTGTCCCAAACTAGTGCACACTGTCAAATAAATAAAATAATTTCTATCTAGTGGCAAGTTATCTATCTAGTGGTGGGATAAAAAATATAATGTCTGTGGACTCTGGATTTGACAGAGTGAAAACTAAAGCTAGCACTGTAAGATTAGCAAAAGTAATATTTATTGCATGACTGTTGTATTTGCTGGCATTAGCTTGCACTGCATGGTGCAGATATTGATGGATCCCCCAGTAGGACTGAGGAATGTTGATGGAAGATGGATGTCCAGGCCTTCGATCCGATGTGACTGCACCTTGAAGGAACCCTGTAGAGTTCATTCTGAAATAGTGTAGCCCTCTACTGTTGGGGCAATTTGAGTTTGACCTGTTGTTCAAGTTCAAGTTCAAGTTCAAGTTCAAGTAATTGATTGTTCTTACTGTTCATATTCTTATTCAAATAACAGCACAACAAATAGATGGCAGAGCTGAACTGAACTGAACAGTATTTTTATAACAGGTGCATTCTTTTCTATCTGTGGGATGTTGTTGCCTGTAACCTGCTAGCCCACACTGTTTCCTTTTCTGCCTGCTTTTCACCACAGCGTCAGAGATCATTTTACCTCACCAATTCTGATCTGATGCTTAAGTATATTACTACTGAAATATGTTTTTCTCTTCCCTGTAGCTCTACTGGAAACTGCTCTACATGACAGTGTCACTGAATCTTTGGGAGGATCTGGATTTTGTTGTCTCTTTCTGCTGTCTACTATGTTTAAATCCATTAGGAATTTACCAAGCTTACACAAGATGCTGGTATATTTGGTGTGACGTGTTCAGTGGAACATTATTAACTGGGTGATGTAACATGGCTGACGGCTACATAACCACAGGTCCAAACTGGTTTTGATGACCTCAGTAAAGCGGTGACCTTGATGCCCTCCTGTCTGCTGCACTGTAATGATGATGTACAACTTCACCATAAGACAGACTGCAGACCAGGATCCAAATGACCTTTTCACTGTGTGTGATACGTTATGCAGTGGGAACTGTCACACTGTGCTGTGTTTGAATCAAACAAGGATCAAAGCTATAAAAACATGAGTGTCATGTGTCCTCTCACCTCCCCCATGCATCCTTCCTTCTCCATATATTTCTTGACATTGTGCCAGATGCGACTCTTGGTGAGGAGGTTCCCCCCAGTGACCTGCTCAAACTTCTCATAGCTGCCATATCGCAGCAGGGCGAGCTCCATGATGTGCACTGCCTGTAAGAGATGAGGAACAAGTACTGTAAAAGCTGCCTGTGACTAATGACTGTCTTTGACATGTTCTGCTGCTGACGCTTTGGACACACTGAACTTTTCACTCTGGTGCTTTGAAGGAAAAGATAACTGCAAAAACATCACTTAAAAGAAATAAAATATCAACAATAAGACAGATATTAAGTAAAGCATGTATTTTGAAGAGAAAACAAAGTTGAACAGTTAGTACTAACTGGTGAATCCTCATCATCCTATGATCTACCCAAGGTTCTACAGTTGGTCCTGGTCCAGTACTTTTCTTTTATGCTCCTGTTAGATGGACTTGGACAGACTGTAAAACTGTAAAACTATAAAACTGCAAAAAAAAAAAAAAATCAATATTATGACAAATAATTTAAGAATTTATAATAATTTATATAAATTTAATTTTTTAATATTATTGAATAACGGCCCAAGCCTGAATTGAGACACTGTTTCTAAATGGTTGCAAAATTATTTTACAGGCATTTACATTCTCCATTTTCTTGTTACTTATCAACGAACATATTCATCAATACCAGTGTATCTGCAATATGATAATATCAGCCAATTTATTGGTACAGCTCTGCTAATAATCACAATCAACTGACATCAATAAATGTCTGACTACTTTCTCCAGCTCACCTTGATTACTACTGTTCTTATATATAGACTTTCTTAGTGTGTGAAAAGTTGTGGCAATGGTAGAATAAATAAATAAATAAATAAATAAATAAATAAAATAATACCTTTAACTTTCTCTGCATTAGTTCTTGTTGTTTAAGAGACAGTGTGAATCATCATGTACCATGTGTAAAGAAGATTTCTCACCTTAATACCAGATTTTCATTTTTTTCTAATGTTTATGTTTTGGAAGTTGTGTGTATGTATAATTCACTTTTGCTTTACATTGAATAAAGTCATTGTGAATATGAATTTATATTGGAGAGCTACTCTACATTTCCATGAATTATTACTCTATTGAGTAAAGCCCGACCGTTATTGGATTTTTGGGGCCGATGCCAATACCAATATTAGGGAGGGAAAAAATCCAATATCGATATATTGGCCGATATATATATGTATATACAGTATATATACATATATATATATATATATATATATATAATTTGTGAAAAAGATACGTAATGAAAGCAGGATATTTTACAGTTTAACAAAAAAATGACATCAGTGCACTGAAACAGTAAACATCACTGGGAATTAAATAAAATAACTATAAAAATAAATATCTATAAATAAAAAATATAAGAACAAATATGTATATATATTATATACAGTATATATATATATTTAACTTGAATGAAAACAAAGGATCAAATACACGTAAAATGCTGCCTATATAACTTGACTTGACATGATTATTTTCCACTGCATTATTGCTTCTTAATAAAAGTATTCATATCAGTGCATATCGCAGAATATATGCGCCGATACCGATATATCTGTGATAGGCCAATATCAGCCTATAAAATCGGCCGACCTATAAATCAGTTGGGCTTTACTATGAGTATCAGTGTCCATTTTCCCTGACAAATGTCATTAATATCAGACTGTATGACAAATGTGAAGCAAAAGAAAACATAAGTATCCTCTGCAGGATCATTTTACTGCGCTTCCTGTTCAGCTCACTCACTTTTCACTTGTCTAACTATCTGAGCACTTATATCACTAAAAGAGTGCAACACAACACCACAAGGCTGTTTTCCACCCTGAGGCATTTCTTGTGTTCATGTTGTTTACTGGACATGTACTCATACTATAAGTGTCGATTTAAGACACACACTGAGGCAGTTTTAAACTAATCCACCACTGTTACTAATCCACTACTGTATTTAAGTAATGAAGCTGCAAAACAAAACAATGAGCTGGAATGATGAGGGGAACTGCTCCTCACTATGAGCTCTTTCACACTTTACATAGTCATCTGATCTATTGTTCATATATAACTAGAATCACCTCCTCGTGGTTGTCTGCCTCCGCCACTCAAGTTACATCCCTGTTTATCCAGAGTCACAGAAAATATGAACCATTTGTGTGAAACTTTGTCATAATTGCTGTGAAGTCTTGAGTAAAAAATGTTTTGTGACCTTGACCTTTCACCTTTTCACCACCAAAATCTAATCAGTTCATCCTTGAGTCCAAGTTAATGTTTGTGTAGTTCCTTCAAGGCGTAACTGAGATATTATGTCCACGAGAATGGGACGGACAGACAACCAGAAAACAATATGCCTGCGGCTCTTACTGTTGCTATTACTGAAATAAAAAATGGATTAGTGGAGATTTAATACAAACATTAGATGATATCTATTATTGTATTATTTTAAAAGTAATCAAACTGTAGGAAATCACCACTCTGTCTGCATGTTTCCCTTTCTTTTCTACTACATTATATATCAAGTGTACAAAGAATATTTAAATTATTTTGGTGGGAAACTGCTGTAAAATGTGATAACATGAGTTTTTTTCTGATGTCTGTTTTGCCCTCATTGTCCCTGTTATGTCAGGTCTTCCAAAGATTAGTCAGCACTAATGATTAGAAATCAAGAATTATGTTTTAGTTCCAAAGCTTTATATTCTGAGGTTGTCTGCTTTAGTTTTGGGGACCTTTTGCACCTCAAATAAATTACATACATAGCTGTTTGCTAGGAGGACTGCCAAAAAGCACATTATTAAGCGTTTTGATAAAGGTTATTTGTGTCTGAACCAAACCAACAAGCTGAACTGTTCCAAACTTGTTTGGTGGAAACACACCCTTACCTGTGTTAGGAAGCGATCTGAGGCGTTATTATGCCGTGCCAGGACAAGCGGAGAGACAGGGTTGCTGTACTCAAACTGTGGATTGTAGCTGAAGTGAGACTTGAAAAACTTGGCCTTCTCTTTCTCCACATTAGTGGGCTTGATGGCTGTAAGGATGCAGAGCTTCTTGGCATTTTCCACTTCACGTTTGAGTGCTGCTTTGTGCAATGAGGGAAGTTTAGTGTGAGGCGAATTGGCAAAGCACATCTTCCTGAGCTGTGGAACTGTACGAGGCATTAGGCCCATTGTGCTGCCCACCACTGCGATGCTTCGTGCTGGTTTAGGGAAACTGGAGTTTGTGTCTGAGAAGACACAGTTTGTCTGTGCAGGCTTCCCACCACCTTCTTGAGCACGCACCTTTTTAAAAGCCATACTTGGATGGTTTCTTTTACCAAGTGTGGCACCACATTTCTCTGATGTTTTTGGCCCAAGAGACTGCTTTGGGCTCTCCCAATCTTCCTCTTCACCCTGCAGCAGTATGTTGCAGCTGCTGGAGCCAGTGCTGAAGAGGTCTTTGAGAACACTGGAAGAAATCTTCTCCAGATATACTTGGCTTGGACTCACAACCTTGTCAGCAGAGTTTAAGATGCACTTTTTGGACATTTCTGCTTCTGGCCAGTGAAGTCTTTCTGAAATAAGTCAAATGAGAGACCATTAAGGGAGGACAGTGAATGTGTCTGCTGATTACTTTACAATCACCTTCACATGTAGACCTTTTAGAGCTCGATAGACTAATCCTCTTATCAAGCTAGGATAAAATTAGATCTATTCCAGTGCCAAGTTTAAAAAAATACAAGGTAATAAATACATGGATGCCATTACTTGCACTCAGTGTGATGAACAGTGTTTTTACATCTCTACAAGCAAACTAACAACTACCTTGTCCAACTTTTGTTTTTGTTGCAATCATAATAATGTGATCTGACTCAAATAACCATAACTTGACATGTCCTGGACTGCTGTTATGTCAGCAGTTTGTGGCTATGCGCCAATCAATTTCATGAGTCAGTATCCTGTTCGCACAGAGGAAATTATTCTCATCATGTCTCCAGGGACTGGCAGAACAGCACAGGATTCAGAGTGCGGGGCTGTGCGATTTCCAGTAAGGCAACCTGGAACATCATCACCCTGGGAGCAGACTCTCTGTTCGGACAGGAGCGCTGAGGTGGAAGCCATGCAGCCACAGACAGCACACACTAATGACCCCAGTAGGACAGTAATGATTGGGAGAGGGAGAAGTACAAATTGGAGCTTCACTGACTGGCTAGTGCTCAGCAATCAAATCAAATACTATTACCTAACACATCAGCTGAGTATCTCATCATTCAGTTTCAACTGATGTGATAGGCCACTATGACATCATACTGTAGACAAAGAAGTAATCCTTTCTAGTGAATACATGGATGTGTGAAAGTTTACAAAGTTAATGTAAGACATTTCCAAGCCAGTTACCATATATGACATTAAATTTATGACAGCAAAAACAGTCCTGAACCTGGATGTAATTCAACTGCAAAATAAAACAAATCATTGCTCAAACATCTCTATCTGATCCATCACCATTAACCAAAATATCAAACCAATACTATTAATTTAAATCATATAATTAGCAATAATAATTAGCATGATTCAGCACTGAAAGCCCACCAGAAATCAGCTTGTCAACACTGACTTTACAACACGAGTATGATACAGTGAGCACTGCAAAATACAGTGGTTATATATAATACAATACAAACGGAGAATAATGAATACATTTCATGTTTCTTAAAATATAAATGGTTTTGTTTATGTTCGCTAGTTCATTATGTGTCTAGTAATTATAGTTAAGTAAAAACTAACTGGAGCTCATATTTTAACTTAGCTGCCACTTGATATAACTGATGCTACATCACAAGTTCAAACAAACTGATATGATTACTGTATTACATGTAGTAATTCAGGTTGACGTTCCTGGTATGTTCATAGTCCCTCAAGAACACAAACTCCAAGCCACAGTGACAAGAAAATAAGAAAAGGACAAGACAAATTAAACATTACCTGTTACTTTTATTGACTCCAGCATCCTCTGTTGAGGTATCTAGCTAAACCTAAAATACCACACAGCCGTCCGAAGAACACTAGTGTTATTTAACAGAGTTAACCTTGCTAAATTAGCCGGCTAATGTTGTCCAAATATGAATTGAACGATGAGAACAAGTTACCTGTCGTGAGTGCTTATTTCGACACCCAGAAATAACTGTTTAAAACATTTAAGTGGCTGTTAACTGAGCTGACATAGACCGACCCGCCTTCACCGACTCCCTGCCACAATGTCAAGCAGGGGCGAGCTGTCTAGCTTTGACTGATCTGTTTCCATGGTTTCGTTGTAGCTACGCAGCACACTAATGAATACTGGGAAATGAAGTCCCTCTGAGAATAGGTTCAGACAAAATATCAGTGCTTGGTCTTTAAATAGTCGGGGATTCGTACATACTTTGTAATTCACCACATGCATTTTCTGTGGATTAAATTTAATATCATTATTAATCAAACTCAGGCGTGTGTTACTATATTAGACGCCATAATTGTAGTTTCCTATGAGCTGGCTGCACCTCTCCAATCCGTAATCATTAAAGAAGCAAGTCAGTACAATTTAACAATAAACTAATCTGTTCAGTAGTTTTGTCCAGCTGGAGACTTGTGATCCAAATGACTCGCTTTTTTAGTTGAAGACACTGTATGTAAAATTGAAACATAAAACAATGGAAATTATTTTTTTTAGAATAAATTTATGGATCACAGGTTGATGGCGCTGAAGAATAGAACCCAGTGTTAGGAAAAGTGGGCGGTGGGCACATGAATATATTATATATTATATATAATATTATACAATTTGATGTGCTACTTCTAGCAGGTTGATCACAACTACCTCAAACCTGATCAGAAAATGCTTAAGATGTTGATAATGCCATGAAAAATTAACTCAAGCACACATTGCACAAACTGACCCAAACTTTATATGTTTGATAAGTATCCCGGCCTGAACACATCTCACATGTTCATCTTTAGTAATACTCACAGCGCCACCTAATGGTAATAGGAAACACAAGATTTTACAATTTGATGTACTCCTAGCATGTGGACCAGACCCTCCTCATACTTCATCATTCAGAAAATACTTCTTCCCTTGATGAATCTAAGTGACTTTTCATTTAAGGGCGTGGCTGTGACTTCTCAACAGAAAGTGCCTTTAACGCTATTATACATTGTGCAATCGGCCTCAAACCTGTAGGAAAATACATCTCCCCTTGCTGATGCCACATTCGAAAATGGTGCGTTTTCAGTTAAGGGCTTGGCTGAGGCGACACTGAGAATTTCATTGTCTGCTTGTGTGCTGTCTACCTGAACTGGTGGTCGTTGGTGATCTCTGCCTCCATCTAGTGGACACTATTAAGAATGTATATAAAACTGCAGTATATATTGTCTGCTGCCACACAGTTCAAGCAGGAAATTTTAAAACATGAGCGCAGTGCCCGACAGTAGCTAAGACGTGCGGCTGAATTTACAGGCCTACTGCAAGGCCCACAGGAGTGCGAGGGCCTACTCAATGTTGATTGCAGCTTTAATAACATTTGATATGGGTGCCCATTTGAATCTCCATACCTGATTTAATTACCCCCAGCTCTTAATCTGGCAGATCTTAATTACTGGCTCCTTAGTTTTAATATCCAGTGGGGGATGACTGTCTTTAACAACTGTATGCTCAAGTATTCTTGTAAACATCTACTTATGAGTCCAGAAATCATGGTATAATATGTGTTTAGCACAATTTCGAACCTTACATCTGTTTTTTTTTTTGGCTGTAGTGTTATTTTTGGAATTAAGTTGAAACATAATTACTTTTTTGTTCAAATACATTTATCCACCAGTATGTCAGCTGATCACAGTTAAACTGTGAAGATATAAAATTTAATATTTAACCATAATTTGAAAAGCATATTATAAAATATTATCTAAAAAGCAATCAATCAGAATTAGGAATGAAAAATATAGTATATTTATATATTTATATAATGAAAAGAATCCTCTGCTTATTACATCCATTGAAATGTAATCTGTGTATTTGGTCAGCACACAGTATACAGCCTAACTGCTTGTTTTCAGCATTTGATTCCGAAGCGCATGACAAAATGTGACATGTGACAAATGACATCCCTTTTTCCACACATCCAGGCTGTGATTGGCTTACAAGTGTAAAACTCGGCTCGTTCATTCTGATTGGTCCTCAGGCGATTCGTTCAACGGTTGGAGTCTGCGCAGTATGCGCAGCGCTGAAATTCAAATTTGAACAGACGTTGTTTTGTGCGAGGAGAAAAGAGGAAGCCACAGAAGTGAAGAGAACCTGCGTATCGCTTAGCTTGCCTCGGTTGTGTACACATAGTGGTGTACAAGACTTTTGACATACCCAATTGGTGAAATATTGTTCCAGTAGGGACACTTCGCCCAGAATGGATCCATTTACTGAGGTGAGTCAAGCGTTGCCTAACGTTCACTTAGATATCTAGCTACCATAACGTTGTTATAGCTGCTTTAATGTTACCTGCTAATGCTAATGTACCTAACGTAATATTTCCTATTTTTTTACACTCTTACTAGACACATGTTAGTTACGGCAGGAGACCAACTTGATAATTTCGATAGCACAAAAAATGGCATAAACGTAAGCTAACGTTACCATAAAATAATTCATGGTGGTGCATTGGCATAATGGCAATGAAAACATGTCACGTGTTTCTTTGTCTTGTCCATCAGCTTTCACAAGTCTGAACTAGAAATAATAACTAAGCTAGCTAGCACCATAAGCTTCTAAAGGCAGTATGTTTAGTTTTGTTGAGGTCAAGCTACGGATTGAATGACGTCTGATATAGTATAGTAATATGACATCCATATCCATGTACTCTATCAGTTCAATCAGCCAAAAACATTCGACAGTCATCGTTATTCAAATGAAACTGTCTCCATTTAAGGCGATGGAATGTGTCGGGGCTGGAAACTACCCAACATTTCGCCCTCTGATAGATGTGTATTAGTGTGTATTTCTGTTTCTTTCTGTTGCAAGCTAAAACTAGAAATGAGTCAGGAGTGAATATCTGATTACAACAGTTGTAACTCGGGTGTCCTGCCCAGTAGAGTTTGAAATTTCAAATCTAGGAAGTACAAGCAGGAATGGCTCATTCCTGAGGAATGCAGCAAAATGTGACTTGAGGTTTTCCACAGTGCCTGGAGAAAGGTTATAGGGCGGTGCAGTGCAGCTGCAAATATGTGTTGGAACTTGCACAGTTAAGGTACAGCACAGTAAATCAGACTGTGACAGGCTCTGTGGGGAAGGGAAAGGAATGTCATGAAGAAAGACGGCAAGCAAACAGAGGGCTTTTTTTTTATCTGTGGTGGAGAAGGACTGATTTGTGTGTCTTAGGCTGAAATGTTGGTTGTTAAAGTAGCACATCTAAAGAGGTCTGAGTCTTAGATTCTGTGGCACAGCATAGACAGTGTCGAAGAAAGACAGTCAACAGCCATGTTGCAGATGCAAAACATTCACATATTTAGAGCTTGTAAAAAAATGTCTGACTTGTTGAGGGTATTTGTAGTTTCCTGCCAACATCAGTCGGAAAACTCGCACTAGAAGGGAAGTGGGAGGGAACATGCAAGGTGTTAATAAGGGAACTTTAGAAGTGATGGTAGGTTTATTTTTGAACTTTGGATGCAGTTCTTTATGTAAAGCGAGGGTAAATACCTCTTTACTTTAGTGGGGTTTTTAGTTGTGCATGAGGGTTACAGTGGCTTTACTGTGTCTTTGGAGCCTAGACACCTAGCAAGACTCTGGATGTGCTGCCTTTTCACTAATACACATCTATCAAAGCCCACCTGCACTGCAGACATTCTGCTCACTGCGATCACTGTTCGTTCTTACTTGGATTCAGCTCCAGCTCTATGAGTGTGAACATAGCCCACTGTCACTCTGTATCATAAGTAAGTAAAAGAATGTTTAACACATTGACTACGTTATGATTAAAGCTCCATATTTCAGTCTAGTGTTGCGGTGGTTGTAATGGTTGGTGAAATCCACTATGAACTGACTGCTGTTAACCCTTTGTATAAATCTAGCTTTAATATACACACATGAGATATATTGATCTGTTAAGCAAATAAACATATTAAAAAACAATTTCTTCAAAGACTCATAGAGCAACTAAAGCCAACAGAAAATGTCATTTTTTATGAACATTTATTTATGAACAACTTGTGATTGTTGATAAACACATTTCTGAAGTACACAGGGATGAACACAATAAAAGCAACACCTCTGTAACAATCAATAAACAATAATCCTATCCAATACAGTGGCCCAGCTATAAATGATATCTCTGTACCAGTTGTAATGGAACATGTTAAGACTTTCAATTATGTGTTAATATTGGCTGGTGTCGTGCTTGATACCATATAACACTGTACAAGTGATGATTTTATTCTTTCCATTCTTTGTGTGTATAAAGTAGCCATTGGAGTAACAATGTTATTTTTTGTCTAAACAGAAATTGTTGGAGCGAACCAGGGCTCGCAGAGAAAACCTGCAGAAGAAAATGGCCGAAAGACCAAATGCAGCAAACAGACAGATGGTCAAAAGAGCCAGAGAGCCACTGGCTGACAACAATAGTGTGATCAGTGAGCCAGTCATTGATAAAGGTATGACCATGTTAATTTTATTGCAATGCTCTGTGACTTGTCCTTTTAGTTTGCGTATCTTTGCTTTAATTTTTTTCCACCACTTCCTCCCAGCTCCACAGGTTTCCTCCAAGCCCTCTCCCTCCAAGCGCCGGTGCTCAGGGGAAAATGTCCAGCCTGCAGTTGGTGAGGAGAACCAAGAGCCGATGATGACACGCCCTGTGGCCCATATGCCCTCAGATCCTCCCACAGACAAGAAGCCTCCAGTGGGGCCAGGCAGCAGACATTCCTCCTCCATGGAGAAGACTGCTACCCGGCCGGCTGTCCAATGTCAGGCAGGGCACCTGAAAACTGTACAGCCAGAGCCAGAGAAGATGGCTGTCACCCCTGCTCCTGATGATCTGAGCAGCAGAGAGGCAGAGATGGTGCCTGCCAGTCCAGCTCTCCAGAGGACCAAGGAGGAGGTAGTGGAAGATCCAGCTCCATGTGTTGTTGGCATGAAGTCACGTCTACAGAGGCTAGCTGAGCAAAGAAAATGTTGGGATGGTGACGGTAAGAATATTTTATGCGCTTTTTGAGATAATTTAGTTTGATTTATTTAGCTTAGGTAACATTTTGTTATTTTAATGAAGCAATAAGTATTTAAAGATACAACCCAAGATCAAGGTGTAAACAAACCAAAACTACAGATCATCTTCTGAATTCAAACTGAGTTGACCTGTGTGTCTTTAATCAGTGTTAGAGGTGAGCCAGTAAAAGTCAGGAGGCAAAAAAAGGAAAAGGCCATCATGTGTCCAAAGAAAATGCTCCATTGATTTTTCGGTTGTATTTTTTGTAGCAGAAAGGGTTTGTGATTTCACTGCATTGGGGGCTGCTGACTTGGTGCTTCAGTAATTTAAAGTTTGCAAATTGTCAATTGTCAATATGATTTGTCCTGGCCCAAATTAATCATATTGTTACTTTTCAGGTACATCTGATGCAGCTCCACACTGTACTCCCCTGTCCCTGTTGAAGAGACAAGTTGAGGTCCCACCAGCTGCTGTCCCCTCCGTGTCCTCAGAAACTCCACTAGGGAGGAGAGGCAGATTGGCCAATCTTGCTGTCACCATTGGATCCTGGGAAGACGACCTAAGCCATGCTAATATCCCCAAAGAGGATGCAAAAGAGAAGCCCGGTAAAGCTGTTCCCAAGTTAGCTGCCAGAGATGTCACTGTGGCTGCCAGCACTAAGCCAAGTGCTTCTGGAGGCCATGTGGTGGCCAGTTCAACAGCAAGCAGCAAACCTGCATCCATCTCTAATCAGGTGTGTACCTGGCATTGTGTCATTCTTCAGTTCTTTCTGGTTGTATGAGCTGTCTGCTTTTTATAATTTCTCTAATTAGTATATTGACTCTGTGACTCTGCCAAATATGCTATGAAGATCCTGAACAGCACTGGTGGTGCTTCATTCCTTTGTTCACATTATGTGAATATAGCAGTCACATTCAGAGAAAGTTCTTGAATAAATATATTTATGACACCTACTTTCATTCCTGTAGTAAAATATTTCTTTAAGAATTAAATGTCTTATTCTTCCTACTGACCACTGTTGACACAGCTGGGGTTCCAGAGCTCTGGCAGACCCAGTGTTGACAGATGACATAATTTTTTTGCCAATCAAATACATGCAAATGCACATTACTGTCAGATTACTTAGTAAGGTGAATACTGTTATTGTTAAAGTGGTTGATTCCATAGTTAATCCTTTTATATTATTATATATTATACATCACTGTGCATTGTTGATAAGCCTCAAATTCACATTCTACTGTCTCACTGATCACTGAAGCCACAGTGCCCAGCACCAGTGTAGCTCCTTGTAGTTTTGAACACCAGTGTTTTGAATCTGAATGCCCCATTAGGCCAATGGTTCTCAAAGTGGGGTCCAGAGTCCTTGAGGGGGATCCTGGGAGTCCCCAGCAAAAAGGGAAATCATTTGTTTTCACTATAATTTCATCCATAAGTGACACAATGTCAGAATGCACGACTATTCTGGTCATGGATTTTGAACACTTTGTAATAAAACATCTAAAAGCAAAAATCTTATCAGATGGGGGTCTGTGGTCTAATATTTGTGTCAGTTTAAAGTGTGTGATGTGAAAAGGTTTGAGAACCACTGTACTACGCCACCAGGATGTTCCAACTTGGGTTGTTTTTGAATATGACTCCTTTTTTTTTTTCCCCAGCAGGCTGTGTATTCTCCTGTCAAGTCTAGCCAAGTTGTTCTCCCAAGCCCTCAGAAAGCTGACATCCCAGCAGCCAGACATGCACTTCAGTCAATAACTAGTCCTCAGAAGAGATCCAACCAGGGGGTGACCTTCACCTGTAGTCCTCAGAAGAGCTACAACCATGGAGCGGTCCTCCCGTCCAGTCCCCAGAAGACCGGTTCCTCCTCCTCAACATCTGTGCCTCAAAGCCCCCTGAAGAATCAGGCCCTCTCCAGGGGTCTCAACCTCACAGCCAGCCCCCAGAAGCCAGAGCTCCGTCCCAAGCCTGCTATTGTTAGCCCCTCTGTCCCGCAGGAAAAGGCCAATGCTGGAGGTCCTGTTGAGTCATTTTGCATTTCTTTTAGGAATGGAGAGATGATACAGTACAAGTGTTTCTGCATATTTTCTTTTGTACATGTGGCATAAATTTCAACTTTGACATAAAAGTTCAACTAAAAGAGTGGGCTAATTAAAATCCTCAAGCTTATATTTATACAAGACCTTATATTTTTAATCACATGCACAAACATTTTACAGATAGATTTAAATGTGTTTAATGTTGTGGTGACTTTCCTCCACATGTATGAAAGAAAACGCTGCTTTCCTTTCCCAACAGGTGTAAAATCTTTCCTGGAGCGCTTTGGAGAGAGGTGCCAGGAGCGTACCAACCAGAGCTCTCCAGCAGGGGGTGCAACCCAGGCCAAGACTCTTACTGTAACTCCAACAGTCACACCAAACACCAGACTGGTGCAGGAGAAACTCAGAACTGCCCAGGCTGCAAACACGACCACTGCTGATCTCACCCAAAGACAGAAGCTGGTAGACTAATGTTCCAGATTCTATAGTGTGTCCTCTTATTGTTGTGATCATTTTGTTTAACATTATGGTAGCAAAATGAGATTTAAAAAAAAAAACTGCATTTCAGGAGCGTGAGTCTGAGCTGGCTCAGATTCGCTGTCGCTTCCAGAAGGGGAAGAACATGTGGAATAACAAAGATGAAGCAACAGAAACCAAGAACAAGTCAGACATCAAGGTTGGCTGTCAAACTTGTATCCGACAGACTGATAACACACAAAATAGTCTTCTTTTCATAGCACAGAAAACATAATATTTAACAGATAATATGCTTCTTAGGAACAGCTTGTGGAGCCTGTGGAGAGTGGAGTTGCCCCACGCGAGTCACAGGATGAACCCACAGCACAGCTGACAGAGAAAACAGACACACCCACCACAGTCACTCCTCCAGGTACTCCATCATGTTTCAGATTGGTGACTGAACATTTTAATTTGATATTGTCCAAATGTTGGAGTGGTCAGGGCAAAACTGGATCAAACTGGAAAAAAACCTTTTCCCAAACATTGATATTGTGGCGGGCCACCAAATAAACCAATGTTGACCACCTCACCACCATGTTATCTCACTGTAGAGATGTGTACAGCCCATCGATTCGCTCAGCTCCCCTCTCTCTCTGGATACTTCCACTCTACTATTAGTTTTAGTTTTTAAACTCACGTCTTTTACTACATTTACTCCGGCCGAGTTTTCAAGCACCTAAAACGCTGCTTTAAAATGAAAACGTATTAGTGTAGACATAACCCCTCTCTCTCACTCTCTCTGACTATGTGTAAAAATACAGTCAAGTTGTATCTCAGTCGTATTTATAGTAATATTTTCATAATTTTTCCAGCTACTGCAGGTCAAAGCCACTCACTCTATGCTTTTTAGAACATCTGGGAAGATAAATAAAAACTGATGTTAAAATCATGTAAATGTCAGCTTTAATACACAAGTTAATACACTCCAAAAGACTTGGTGTTCTCGTCTTGACTCCTCTCTCGCGCTCTGACCCTCTCCTCCACCGGCACCTTGCACTTGTGGCTGAAAACCAGGCCTACTGTCAGTCCTGACACATTAACCGTATCTCGTCAGTAACATGAATTAACTTTTTTCTCCATATTGAAGAACTAAAGATGTCTGTTCTCTGCACTGTTTCACCTGTCCTCGTGATTCTCCTCCTCGTGAACTCTCTTTTTAAAATAATCTGTGATTTGAGACATTTCTGGAAAGAAAAACATACACGATTGGATGTTAATTTAGGGAAACTTTTCAAGAAGCTGGGTGTGCTTGGATGTAAACGAGATAATATTCATCTGTAGGGTTGCTTCCTTTTATGTGAAAGAAGGTGGCAACTGGTTTGGTTTTATTTGACATTACATTATTCACAGCACTTTGAGGACATTTTATTTTCAAATACAGGACGATCCCATATTATGCGGGACGGGTGGCGACCCTATTCAACTGTTTGAAGAGCTGCAAAATCAGGTCGCATTGGTATTCTTCTTTGGCAATTTCGGATGGCTCTGCCTGAAGCACGGATTATGACACAGCGCCACTACACTGCCGAAGTGGCGTACAGCCGCAATTGCAGTTACAAACTTCAAATCCAATGAGTACTGAGAAAACAAGTACTAGAATTTCGTCAGGAGGCGGAGGCGGCATGAAATTTGACGGAGGCGGCTGCCTCCCAATTCTCTATGCAGGAAAAACCCTGTTGAGGCTCTCCAGCTCTAACATTTTAATTTTTAAAGTGACAATAAAAAAGGAATTACACTTCTATCTGACATTTGACAGTAATTTCCTCTATTATGTTGCATAGTTTTTTAGCTGAGCTGAAAAAAAAGATGGCTAAAAAGATGGCTTTGAATGGTACAGCAGCTTTGAGAATCAACAAATGAGTTGAAATCTATGTGTAAGTGTCTAACATAGATTATGTTGAATACCAGGTCCTGCATTGGTGGTCTCGCCTCCAGCACACACTTCCAGTCCTCTGAGGGAGGCTGCCCGGACTGTCGATAAACCAGCTGATGAGAGAGCAGAAAGAGAGGAGGAGGTCACTGAAAGAGAGATGAATGTGGATCAGTCCATCAACTCAGCAGTTATTAACGAGCTGTTCGATGGAGTTCTGGAGCAGAGTGAAGATCACGATGAGGAGGAGGAGGAAGATGCTTTGAATATCTCTTCCATGTCCCTCCTCACTCCACTGGCAGAGACTGTGGCTGCTGTGGTGAGGAGTCCAGAGAGGAGAATGATGGTAGGCACCAACATCACCAGTGTCACTTCAAAGATTTACTGTTAGTTTTTAATGGAAAAGGCAAACTGTTAAAGAGCTTCACAATAAACATGTTCTCCATGGCTTTGTGCAGACATCAACTCCAGCCAGTTCATTCATTGTGAAGAACAAGACTCCAGACGTTTCCAATTCCAGCAAGTTCCAGAGGACTAATATGATACGGTGTGCCTCCTCCGACAGTGTCGATGCCTCAGATGATGACCACAAACTGCCTTACAGGTGAATTCTCCCATGTAGCACTCAGACAGATGCTTGTTAAAGTTCCCTGTTGTTACTATTACAGTGAATATGAATCTCATATATATATATATATATTTGATTTGTGTGTGTTAGCATTGATGCATACAGGTCCACCAGAGTGAAGGAGACTGAGAGACCCAACGTGAAGCAGGTTATTGTGAGAAAAGAGGATGTTTCTCACAGAGCAGAAGAGCCCAGAGGATCCAGTCTCTTCAGTATCAAACAGAAGATGAAGGTTAGAAATGAAAAAGCACAACTGTAGCAATAGAATGTGTCAGAAACAAGTTTCAAACAGCTTAGTAAGGCTTTCCCTCTGTGTGATGAACGATCACTCTGTGTTTCTGTAGATTCTAACAAATGAGATGAACCTGCAGCAGACAGTCATTCATCAGGCCAGTCAGGCACTCAACTGCTGTACAGATGAGGAGCACGGCAAAGGATCCCAGGTGGAGGCTGAAGCAGAGAGGCTGCTGGTGGTGGCAAGTAAGTTCATCCAGACAACAGATGAACACATGACTTATCCTGTGCACATTCACTGGGTTCTCATTCATCCTGGAAAACCTGGAAGATTGTGGACCAGTTTGGAGGACTGAATTTGACAGTGTATTGAGTTAGAATCGCTTACTCTACCTTTTTAATATAGACTGAATGAAATATAGCAGATTTCATATAAGCTCTCCAAATCCTGCAGTTTGGCTGTAGTGGGGGCGTGGCTGGGAGCGGTGACAGCTCCGGGCTGGAGCAGAGAACACTGGCCACTCCGCTGGCCAGCACACACCGTGGCCTCAGTGGAGACACCCTCACTTTTCCCACTAAATTCACCATGTGACATCACAAAGTTCCTGAAGTCCTGATGGCTGGTTTTAAGGCTCAGTTTCTGAATACAGGATGTGTGCATTTATCTGTGGACTGAGGCTTTGATACTTTCACAGTATTAATATAGAAGCTAGACCTGCTTTATAATCAGACAACACATGGACATCTACCTTAATACTATATGGACCTTTAACCACTCAGCTCACTTTGGGCTCTTGGGATTAGGTGTAAACAAGACACCTGCCTTTTATAAATAATAAAGACACACTTCAGCACCACCACTACAGCCAGTCAATGTATATGATTTAAAAGCCCATAGGTAGTCTTTGGTGACCATAGTGGTAGAATCAAAGCCTGACGTTCTTTTCCTTTTGACTTAGTGGAGAGGAGGGAGGCACTAAAGGCAGAGCTGGACCATCTGAAAGGAGGACCAGCAGGACAGAAAAAGGCACTTGTGGCCCCAGAACCCACTGGCATGTCTGCCTCCAAGGGCTCCATCACCCTGCAGGAGTTGCGCCTGCCTCTGAAGGCAGACTTTGTTTGCTCCACTGCCAACAGGCCAGGTAGATTCAAGATTGGAGATTGGAGCTTTATCTGGATTAAGTCACTATGAGTGTTTTTATTGTACTGATGGTCATCAACATGATTCTTTCTTTTCATTATTTCAGACTCAACCAAATATTCCTTCTTCATCATGATCCGGGCTGGAGCAGAGAACACTGTGGCCACTCCGCTGGCCAGCACACACCGTGGCCTCAGTGGAGACACCCTCACTTTTCCCACTAAATTCACCATGTGGGTCAAACACTCATGCTCATATAAAATAATGCACACTTTGTTATTTGATAGTGACAGATTATTATTTGATTATGAGTCAGACTTCAAGTTTTGTTGTGATAATGTTAGTTTGGTTGCTTGGCTAAATTTAAAGTGTTAAAGAAGTTAGTAATTATTAATCAGCACTGAATAGATTAAATATGGTTATGTTGATCATGATTGTTGAACACCTGCCCCTCTCCCTCTTCACTTCCAGATCTGATGTCTCCAGTGACTTTGTGATTGATATTGAGATCTATGGCCTGGTGAGTGTCTCCACAATAATAATGCTTTGATCACATATGTTCTGTATTTTCTAGTTTTCTTTCAAGTCTTTAATTTTGTAAATGCAACCCAAAGACCTTTTTTAACACAGCTTTGGCATTCATCTCCTATTTGTTATAAGGTCGGGCAAACTAAAATGTGTCATTTGTTAGCAAATCTGTAGAACTCCGGATTATTAAATTCACATGCTGCCCTAAAGATATTTGAAAAAGTGTCATTCAACACATTCAGTATCATCAACCAGTAGAATTTGACTAACTCAGTACAACTATTTCATTTCTAAAGCCCCTTTTCCACTGGTCAAAAATCCCACAAAAGACGAGTTTCAGGTACTTTTTCTTCAGGAACTAAAAGGTTCCTGTGGCCCATTGTTGTCTGCGTTTACACCGTGGCCTAAAGACCTGGGAAGATTATGCAAAATTATTTTTTCAAATACAGGACGATCCTGTATTATACATGGAATGTGGCAACCCAAACTACTCCGGTTGTTGTGGTCCTTTATTTTTTTGTCCTGTTTTAATTTTTTTACCTTCTCCCTGACCCCTTTCGCGGTGTGGAGAGTGTGTTTGTTTGCTTGCTCGCTGCAGACTTTTAAACATTGCGGGTGAAATAAAATGCTGCGAGTACTTGACCAGTCAGAAATGTTCAGCAATGCAGACCACACCCCCCAAAGTTCCTGAGCCGGAAAATACTACCCCCGACCAAGTACCTTTTTGGGGGGTCGATCATTACCCCAGAACTAAATTTAGACCCTGGTTCTTGTGGTGGAAACGCGCATAGTTCCTCAAAAGGTTTCTGGTTCCTGGGGAAAGCCGGCAGTGGAGGTAGCTACAGAGCTGAATTGATCCTTATGTAAAAGGGGGAGCGGGCATAGTGAGACAGACGCTGACACCGTTGTTACATGTCTGTGATTCCAGAACGACGGCCTGTAATTTAAATCTCTCAATTTGGTCTTTTGTTATCTGCCTGCTTTTCCTGTTTGTTTTTTGTTGCTGTTGTTTTGCTTGTTTGTTTCTTTTTTTGCCTTTCTTGCTTCTTGATTTGCATTTCTGTTTTGTTGTTTGTTGCTGTGCTTGATTGTTTAGCTATTACTGCTGTGCCTCTTATCTACTGTTTGTATCTTGCATGTTTGTCTTGCTGCATGTGTATGCTACTTTTACCTGATCCCATTGTCTGTTAGCCACTTACCCATGCTTATGTTTAGACTGTATGTCTTTTATGTAATGTTTGTTCTGTGTGCTGCTGTCTTTTAACTTTAAACCCTTTTAGTCCATACCCCTTTTTTCTCAAGAGGCTCTTGCTTTTGCCAGGCTGCCTTTGTAAATAAGAATTTGCTGTTAATGTCTTGCCTGATTAAATAAAGGTTTTTACAAAAAAGTGTAGATCAGCAAAACCAGCATGATGGGGGGTCTGCTTAATGACAGTATAGCAGGATCTCTGTTTAAAAGGGGAGACTGATTACTGACACATTGACTATGACACCTTCAGGTGCAGAAAAGTGAGGTCTGCAGTGACAAGAAGAAGAAACCCAGCAAATCAAAGGTAAATTCCCCTGTTGTTTTTTACCAAATGAAAATACATTCAGTCTGATGGAACATGGTTAAATGGTGTGTGTGTCTGTGTGTGTGGGTCTGGATAATCTGGAGACAGGTTCATGAAGCACATGATTTGTGTATGTCGGTATGAATAGTTTCTGTAATAAATCCCTCACTTGGTGGGTTTGGATTCGGTGTCAAAATGTCACTTTCTCTGCACAGCTTCAGGTGGTTGTTTCATTTAGAGGAAAATATAAACTGACCAGCAAGTTACACATCCCTCTGTCAGATTATATACTGTCATTCCCACTTTAAGATTTGCTGTACTTTTATCTTTCCAGGCAATCACTCCAAAGAGATTCCTCGGCATCACTGTAAGAATTTCAACTCTATTTTCTGCTCCTCAGCATTTTACAATTCAGAATTGAAATTAACTTGTTCCTTGTTGTCTTTTGTCTTGCAGAAAAGTGGACAGACACCAGGTGCGTCTATATGTATACAATTAATCTAAACGGAAGTTTGTACTAAGTCAAATGTAATAAAACCTTTTGCATCTCAGGGTGATTGTAGATAAAAGCTTCGAGGTGTTGGCTCTTAGCACTTACAAGAGTTATATTTGAAATAAGATTTGAAAGTATCAGAAGCAGGTTCTTAATTTATACTCCCTAGTATGAGTCAAGCACCAAACTGTTTAATACCTACCCTACCTTCCCATAATGCAACTGAATTACATTTACTCCTGAGAACAAGTAAACTAATCTTGATGTGTCAAACTGGATGGTGTAAGCTTCATATATAGTTATATCCTCTGTCTCTGTAGTTGTGGCCAGTCCAGGAGGCCCCAATGCTGTTCGTACCAGTAACTTTGTCCTGGTCGGATCACACAAGCTCACTCTGTCATCTATTGGGAAAAACAAATTTCCTTTGGAGAAGGTAAAGCAGCCGTTTTGTCATTTTCACATTCTCCCTGTGTCTTTCCATAATCACACTTTCAGAGCTCTTTAGTTTTCTTCTTGATTCTGCATTTCATATGTGGCTGGCCTTTGTCTGAGGACCTAATATCCACGCTGTATGTTTGACGCCAACAAATGGCTCATTTGGATTATACTGCTAGATCTGTGTACAGGCTTTACAGAGACTGTCATAGGACGGTATTTTCTGCCTGTGCACTTATTCACCTGCCTTGATATCTTTCTTTTAGATCAAATATGAAGGATGTGAAAGAGAACTACTCAGTGGCATGTTTCATACCAAGGTTACTACCTGCTCTATTGTCTGTTATTTCTGCCTTTGTTTGTGTGGGGAAGGGTGGACACACTATAACAAGGAGCTCTCTGAGCTGCATGACATCATCCAAACATTATCAGCTTAATCTGCTCTCACTGGGGAATCTAATTTGCTTCTCACCTCTGTCTATGTTCATCAGGTGCTTTTAACCATCTTAAAATAGGAAATGCATTTTAACCTTTGTTTAAGCATATCATGCGTCTGAAACATTTCTGAATTGTGACCATGATGTGAAAGCTTATCATGAAGTGTTTCTGCTGTAAATTCAAGGTGCCGTTCTTGTGCCCCCTGGAGGGCCACATCTACCTCAAGATGCAGTGTGAAGTTGGCTCAAAGGTGGAGGAGAGGGGCTTCCTGGTGAGTGTGAGCAGATCAAGTTATCACCACACATGGACAAATGTGTTGTTATGTGGATGTGTTGCAATTTTAATCCCTTTCTTTTTAAACCCCAGACGATGTTTGAAGATGTGAGTGGATTTGGAGCGTGGCACAGGAGGTGGTGTGTCCTGTCAGGGTACTACATCTCCTACTGGACCTACCCAGATGATGAGAAGCGCAAGGTAACTGCCATTAAAGAGCTTTGGTATTTACTTATTGACCAATTGTTCCTGCTCTCTGTATAGGTATTGGTTTTGTTTTTAAAAATACTCGACACTAGACAATAGTCTCTACCGCTGTTGTTAGAAATTCAGAGAAACAACATATAAGGGCAAGCTGTGCTTCCTGCAGCTTAAATAAATATGATTTTTACATGAACTAGAGGCCTGAACTACAAAGCAGTATTTGAGGTTATCGAGGTAACTTCAGGTTTAACTCTGACTCGGTTTTCAGTCATATGGCAGTGGTTTACTTGTTACCTGGGTAAATCACCATGGTAACTTACACTGAACCCCTAACCTGCTCTGGTGCAGGTTAACGTCAGAGGATCAGATCAAAACCTGTCAATAGCCAAACTACTGACCAATCAGATACCTGGAAACAGAGTCATCGTTCCTACAGGATCCTGACAGGGACAAAAGAGTTTACAATAAAATGATTTGTATTTGATCAGTGGATGTTTTGTTTGAATCTTTCCATGTGTCACTCTGGTTTTAAAACAGAGCCTCTAACAAACAGGAGAGCCTATCACTAAATAACTACATAATAACTATTGTAGCTTCATTTGACCTGAACACAGACTCTTTAATGGACAGGATTCCTGACAGTGATGAAGCTTTTACTCTCCTCTTCATCACTGCAGCTCAGAACAACATGAGGAGAAATCAAAACTAAACAATGATCCACACACTGTTCAATGTTTCATGATTCTAGATGAACATTTCAGTCAGACTGACTCATCAGACATCAACTACTTCTCTCTTTTCTACCTCTCCTCTCTGCAGCAGAAACTGTCTGACTTTAACTGTTTTATCTGCATCACATGTTCATAAGTTTGTTCATCATCAGACAACGGAGAAAAATACTGTGAAAAACTCATGTTCTTATCTACAGTTTGTCCTCAATTTGACTTTAATCATTGTAAATTATTTCTAGTGTTTCTTTTTTATTCTAGTCATGTGATCATAATGTTTACATTTCACCTTGTTGAATTTCACTTTATGACGTTACTATAGCTGAATTCACCTGCAGGTATCAGAGTTTCTTCTCATATATTATTGATTTATTCATGGTTCTGATGATGTTGTTTATAATTAACAACTCCGCCTCTTTCACATGAACCAGCTTGTACCTGGACAGGTAACTGAGCCAGTTGATAACCAGCTTCATAGTACAGGTTGCCAGGATGGTCAATGTTAGGTTCAGTGAAGCCAGATAATGAAACAATATCCTGGGTATGTTGAACTTGTGTTGTAGTACAGACCTCTGTCAAATGTAGAAAATGCAGAAAGTATCAATGGGATACAGGGCTCTTCAGTGTTTCTGTCTGTGTTTCTGCACTGACCCTGTTTTTTTTTGTTGTTTTTTTTTCTTCTTCTGCTGCTCCTTCTGGCAGAATCCCATCGCTCGCATCAACCTGGCAAACTGCACCAGTAAGCAAGTGGAACCAGCCAACAGAGAGTTTTGTGCTAGACCAAACACGTTTGAGCTGATCACAGTCAGACCACAGAGAGAGGACGACAAAGAGACACTGGTCAGTCAGTGCAAGAATACCATGTGTGTCACCAAGTAAGTACCTATTACTAATATATACACATACCCTCACATGTCACTTTGAAAGTTTATCTATAGATAACAGTGACTGCACCGCTGAGTACTGGTTGTTTTTCTGTACAGAAACTGGCTCAGTGCTGACACGAAGGACGAGAGGAATCTGTGGATGAAGAAACTGAACCAGATTCTGGTGGATCTGCGGATGTGGCAGCCAGACGCTTGTTACAGGCCACTGTAATCACTGCACTTTGTCACAACCAGCCCCTCTATGTTTTGGACTGTCAATATCAGTGACACATGCAATTACTAAGTGCAATACAGTATGAGAATCATTAAATATTTTAACTTGTTGATGTTTTACAGGAAATAAGTAAATAAACACATAAGTTGTCGCTCAGAGGAAAGTATACAAAGCCATAGATCTGAAACATTTCAGTACAGTATTTTGTGCAGGAGTCTGGGTTGTTACTATATTTTATAAATTTCCACACTGATTTGATACTTTGGTTTTGGGTATTGTTGAATTGCCACCTCTTTTGTTAATGCCAGCACTTGGTGTGCTTGATGTATGACTTTAAATTATTTGGTTTCATTGCTGAAATCAATATATAAATGGTGCTGAAAACGCAGATGAATACTAATTGAAGCACCGCAGTTTTATCACTGAATGAATGCTCTGTATTTTATCCTGCATGGCAGCACAGAACAATGCTGATGCTTTTGATAAGGTTTCACTTTATATATATATATATATATATATATATATATATTAGCTTTTATACTTTGTGACAGGACTTACAGATGTTTTTTTCTTCATTGCCATGCACATATATTTAATAACCTTTTATACCCAAGCTTTCATTCTATTTGCACTGTGTCATCAGTGTTAATGTAATTGCTTCAGTGTGGTAGTTGAAGTTTGGATAAGTGGGGGTAAGGTCTGTTACATATTCTGCTCTACAGCCTGACCAACACCAATTTAAGGCTAAAACCAAAACTGATATTTGACAGTTTAAAAAGTCTCATTTATATTGGCCAAAATATTTTTTGTGTATAAATAAAAAGAGTTGTGCCTTCACACTTTATTACTTGTCAGCTATACACTGATGCCAATACATTTGATATTTGTTATATCAGCCTTTATTTCATGTCGAATGAAAAAAAAAAAGGTAAATGCAACAGCAGAAGATGCTGTCAGACATTCTCGACTACAAGTTTTGCTTGTGTTGCTTAAACAGAGTATGTAACAGACTTTACAGTGAGCCTGGAGGTGTGTGACAATGTTTTACTTGTTTAGGTAAGACAATGCTTTATCAGCATGTTGATGATTTACATAACTACACTGCTTTGTTTCTGAATACCTTTTACATACATTTTCATCATGAAGAAGAGTGAGCAGGGAAATATGAGTGCTTTACTTTAAGTTCTTTAACTCAAGTTTATAATTGACCAGGTATATGTGGATCAATGAGTCTTCAATAAATTCCTGCTCTGACAAAAATGGATCCTGTTACTAATAGTTCTTTTTGAAAATATAATTTTATTGATGAGCAATATTAAATGGAATCTTTAACCGTTGATTTTGCTTTGAGATATTATAATGCCAATGCCTTCATGTACTAGAAAGTGTTTATTTTATTTTATTTATTTGTTTAGGTGTAATCTGTAAGATCATGCTACTTGCTCCATCTCCATAAAGGGCAGCATTTCACCTCTTTGCCCCTGTCCAGTTAATCATATTGTTTTCTATGGCCCGCATAATTTATTATTTATATAATCACATTGGTATAGACAAGTTGAAAAGAGTGGAGCAGGGTGACAGCTGAGGGGAAGAAGCAGATCCTGAACCTACTGGTTCTGGATCAAACTGTCTCTTACTTTTGAAAGTCGATACTCACCTGGACTCTAGGTGAGTAAAATTCTATCATTAAAAAAGTCTGTGAAATTCTGAAGGGACTGAAAATTGTGGAAATACATTCCTTGTATTGAAATTAACTTTTAGGTATGCAAACCAAAAACCCCTGTAATTTAAAACTTCTATGCAATGCATGATTAGTAAAAGTAAAAGCATATGGGTGGTGGCAATAATGAGGCTCTTACTGTAGTGCGCTATGCACTAGGGTTGGTGATGTAGCAAAAATGTGGCACAGAATTTGAATGGAATTCTGAGTCTACTGTGTGTATAGACAAAGACATTCCATTCCAAACTCCATGCTACATTTTTGCTACACAGCCTGACATAGGGCTAGCGCATCGAAGTAAGAGCCTCATTACTGCGCCCTATGATTGCTATGTGGGTCGACCTATGTTAAACTACTTAAATTAAGTCATTGAAATGGGGTAAAATATTATGGAAAAGTTCTGAAAATTCATTGGTAAAAATATGTGAACCCTGCTAGACCCTCTGCACTGTGTCTGTACACTCTCTGCCACTGGTGTTGGTGGGACAGGTGGAGGCTATACTGGCTCAGGTCCTGATAAAGACAGGTATGCTGAAATCTCCTGAGAAATGTAAAGGCCTAGTGAACTTTCAATCCTGCCTGATCTCATAATAGTAATGTAAAGTGGTTACAATATGGTGAACCGATCGATGTGTATTCACTCGGTCTACTGGATCCATACAATCTCAATGTACAATCATTATAAAATAAGCCTAAAGGTACTGATGTAACTAGCTGGACAACAGCCATAGTAACAGGCACAATTATACTAAACCACTAAACTGGAGTCTGTCCACGACATCAATATCATACATTTTTGCCACTTGAGATGTTTGTCAGTATGGCTTGTCATTAGTTGCACTAATGACACTTTTCACTAAAGACAGACTATTAGACATTAGATGGAGTAACGTTAGTAATATTAGATGTTACTCACCAGTCACCACCAAATAAAAGTTGGGAGCTCCGCATCAAACCTCATCTCTTTACCCATCAAGAGCTGTCTTCAGTAGTGGAAAGCCACACCAACATTTACTTGTGTTTGATTCTTTTCTGTGCCGTTTAACATATTCCTTGTTGGGAGCATTCCTATGGGATGCAGACGAATATCGCTTTCCAGGAGCTTCAGCCATCTCTGTGTTTCTGTGATGCTAGTCACAATTTGTGTAGTATAACTTCAAACTCTGGAGGAAGTTGTTCTTCTTCGTTGGACTGAGGGCAAACTAGACTCTCTACACTGTCACAAAGTGGTATTACAACACAGATTGTAGCTAGCTGGTTAGCATACTAATTTCAATAGATCTCTGAAATACAATAGATGGAGGTGACATAACTGTGGCTCTTTTACACAGTTAACGGTGTCAGTTCATTTTTTGACCATTTTAAACTAAAGTTCTGGCCAGATTTTACATATTGCACCTTTAACGGGTCCTATATTTCCCTCTTTTCCTGTGTTTTATTTAAAGTGAAGTGAAGCTTTTACATGTCTTCACAGAGGCCGGTCGCTAACAAGTGACTAAATAGTAAAAAAAAACACATCACATCATGAACCAGAAGTACCATTAAACTTACAATTACACAGCAACACTACACTTTACTGAAACTACAGGGTTTAGCCCAAACCATGAACAAATGCTCCCGGCCCAAATGCCTGAATGTACACTAATGTTTAATGTGTTTCAAAGATCTGCCTGAATTATTTCTGCAAAATACTATGATTTTAGCTGTGTTTTCCATCTTTTTCGTAATGTTCATACACACTGGCATTTTCCTCTCCATATCCATGGCAACTTCTGTGTCACAATATAGGCTACATCATCTCTGTTCAGCTTATGGTGTTATTAATATTTATTTCAACCACAATGCAGCCTTGTAGTCGTCAGAGGAAAAAAGCACAGACCCGTAGATACACCCTTGAAAATAAAGTTTGATGAAGTAAACATGTAATAACAAATAATTTAATGTTGGATTTGTAGAAGATGAAAATAAAATAGCGGTTCAGTCGACCACGTCTACAGACTTTAGGAGTAATTTTAAAGCACCTGCTGATATTTTTGGCTGATAATAAAAGTCTCCAGGCACACGGATCTCAGTTGTAAATGTCTGTCCTATTGCTGTAGCTAGGCCTATGTCTAAATCAAACTCATTCTGTGATGCCACCATACACTGTATGTGGAAAGATACCACTTCTGTAGCTGATGCAACAGAACTTATTATTACAGGCAGACAGGCATTGCAACAATAAGGTGGATAAAGCCTTCAAAATAAAATGTTTGCCAAATAATATCAAGCTCTTTAATGAAAATAAAATGTGTATGAGCAAGACCTCCACAAATATTGAATGTAAATGTATATATAGTCATAGCAGGCTACAATGACGTTTTCATTTTGTAAACATTGATAGCTCATTTAGCTGAAATAATCACAAAGTCCATTCAACAAACTACCACTACATTACTACCACTATGACAACTACTACTACTGAAGGTCTATCATATATACAGCTGTACATTTCATATATTCAATCGATTTCCTAACGAATTCGAATGTAATTTTTAGCTGTAATATAATTTTAGCTACATTATTGTTTGTAGGTAAACTTTTATTTTGAAGAAACAGTCACTAGTTCCGGTTATATATGAATTGCCTCGCTTCACGACGGTGGAAGAGTCGTTCCTGTTTCCACCATCGTATCTACGAGAAGAAGGAGGTATGTGTGTGAGCTGGGACTCAGTGTGTGTCAGTTGATCTGTGTACTTTTGACTTTCACTTAAATGGACTTTATAGCAGAATTCTGCCTAAAAACTTTACATTTAATTTAAAAGGTTACCGATAAATGGTACGCACGCACATAGAGCATGACTGCTGACTAATTGTGAATAAGCACCATGTGTCTTAAAACTCGGCGTATATCACCCACCAAGCAGCATCTCAGAAATCCTAGCAGAATGTTTCATTCACTTTGTTAATCCCCGCCCGCCGGTGCTGTCCGGCGTCAAACACCACAAGCTGGAAGAGGAAGGTAGGAGTAAAGGATGAGCCACGCTTATATTATACACTACTACTACTACCACTACTACTTACTAATACTGCTAATAATAATAATAATAATAATAATAATAATAATAATGCTGTTTAGTCCAATATACTGTGATAACTCAAGAGCTTCGTAACGAAATTTTAATTTTTAAATGGAAGAGCCCTTGACAAAAGAGACAGGAACATATGTTAACGTTAGTTAAATCAAAGATCCATACAGGGGATCTTTGAAGAAACCGTATGTCAGGCAGCGCCAATGGTATGAAATGGGAAACAGTTCCGGTCCTAGAAGTGGGCGTTGTCTCTTAACCCCTCCCTCAAGCGAATGCAGCTGGCATGAAATGTGACAGTTGCTAATATTAAAATCTATCCCTGTCTAGACTTACCTCTCTGCATCCTTTGGGAAAGAAAGTACAGATCCGTTTTTCTAGTTATTACAGCCTGTTGCTGCACAAAGCTCGGGCATTTTTAACACTAACTGATGGATTACTTATCTTTGCCAAAAGAATGCAACACACCAAAAGAAGTTTCCGGCTTCCGGGTTACTTCCGAGCGATGCGGCCCACTGAATATGCGCAGTAGTGTCACTCCCATCATGCCTGCACGGCAGAGCGTCCAGTTCTTATAATTCATCCATGATTGGATGTATTATAAGAACTGGACGCTCTGCCTTGCAGACAATTTTTCCCAGTGGCCACTTGCGGTATTGCAGCAAAAAATCCCCTGCGTCAATCCATGATTGGCTGTATTATAAGGGGCGGGGAGGTAGAGAAACCCACGTGACACAGATACAGGAAATAAATGGAAATTAAGCATCTCGGTTTCTCTACTGTCTGTGGTTAAATGAAGTTCATTTGATTTGTTGGTCAGATGTGGTCTGGACATGAAAAAACTGCGGAATCTCCATTATGTTGCTTTTTCATTAATAGCATAAAGGTTTCACGGATCTGAAATTGTGTTTAAAGAGTTTTCAGCTTCTTTGGTATGATCTAGTCAAGATTTGACCAGTTTAAGTGTAGTGGTTTTTCATCTGGACCTGGTCTGATGTGGTGTAGATGTGTACAAGTAGTGAAAACTCCTTTTTAGGGTTGTCAAAAAATTGATACCCAGATACTAATGAATACTAAAAATTAGTATCAGATTAGGTACTCATTTGCAACAGTATCGATACCAACAGTGCCGTCTTCGCTTCCTCCAGTTGACACACAAATTCAACGCTAGTTGACGTTCACAACACTGAGCTGGTGTCAACAGCATAAAACTAAATTAACATGGCAAGACTTTCGCAACCTGTTTTAGTTGAAAATGACAAAAGCAAAAGTGCCGTTTGGAATTATTTTGCATTATTATTCTACCTGGCCGGCGGCACTCATTAACGTTAGCAATTAGCCAATAGCCACAATAGCCCTCCGTTAAGTTATCATTAAGCTAGTGGCTATGGCTAATGATAAAATAATAAAATGGCTAACGTTAATGTGGGAGCTAGGCAGCAAACATTATCAGTCCTGCCCATCTGTAACATTAATAGACAGTGTTAATTTAACAGGATATGGACAATGATTTGTGTCTGAAAAGTGCTATATATATATATATATATATATATATGTAACATTGTGTTCAAAGTCACAATGTGCTCAACAATGGATAACAACATGGATGCTACATTGCGGGTACACGGCGGCCCTGCTACTCGAAACCTCGACAACAGAATTTATGCATTAAAAACAATAAAAACTCTTACTCAAAATAATCAGAGTGATGTTACATTGCTCTTACATTCACTTCACGTAAGTTAACATCAAATACTCGTGTGAAATGATTGAAAATAGGCACATGGGGAGACTTGCGTACCTTCCCAGGAGAAAGTCCAGTGACAGAGGAAGAACAGCTCGCACCAGTGCAGCAAGTACAACTTTTTCAAAATAAACCTATAACGGCACTTCCTGCTACACCAAAGAAAAATCTCCCGTTTATGAAACAGTGAGCAACCATACATAAGATCCTGTCAACTCTCGTACCTATTATTTTATGAGCACAATAAAACATTTATATCAGCATAAAAATACTTACTAACTTATCCCCCGGTCCCAGATTGAAACTGAGAAAAGTTGACCAGCAACTAGACAGAAACAGCAGCAGCCTACCCTACCAACTCTATTTGATCAGCAATGAAAATATGGTGCCAAGTTTGTTTTAATCTTTATTTAAAAAAGGGTTAGGGTCATATTTTCTCCCCGTGGTATTGGAAATGGTATGGAGTATCGAGTATTTTCCTGGGTATCGGTATCGAGTTTGAAATTCTAGTACCGTGACAACCCTACTCCTTTTATTGCATTTTCACAAATAGAATGAAGGTTCCACAGATTTCAGACTGTGTTTTAGACAGCCTTAAGACTTTATCTAAAACGTTTAACATGGTCCAAAGAATCAGGAGAAGCGGATCAGTTGCTCAGAACTATAAGTTAAGTTTCCCTGAAGTTTCCCCTTCTCCCCTTACCTGCCAAATCAGAAGCTTTGTCCTTAACAGCTCATTAAGTTGTAATCTGTAACTTTTCCACATTAAAATGTTTGAATTATTTTTATTTTTTTATCGTTGAGTTGTTGAGTTGTGTACTTACATTATCCCAAATGTTTCTATCAATTATCAAACCAGAGAAACCCATGATTTTAATCATGGTAACAGTCAGTTCCAATTGGCTGCCTGTCAACGATATCATATGCTCTTTGCACATGCTCAGTGTTGTGGTTGTCTGACAGAAGCATCAAAACTGACCTTTTATCCAATTTGTGCCACATTTTTACAATACATTTTTTTTAGAACATTTGGGATAATGCAAGATCACAGTACAAGAACATATAGAACACAGGTCGTTTTGTGTTTAAACATTTTAATGTGGAAAATATTATGTCTTTAATCTTTAATGTTATATATCTGAGGCTCATTGTAGTGGTGGGAAATGAATCCTCCAGCAGTGTGTGTCCTGAGGACAGGATGTGAATAGTGTGGTTCTTTTTATGCACAATGTGTAATTGAAGCTCTGTGATTCACCAACTGTAGAGCAGGTAAAAAAACAGCCTCACTGTTGAACACTGCCTTTTGCATCAGGTGCTCCTGTTACTGTTTACCCAGCGCTTTTTCATGTAAGTGTCTATGCAGTGTCTTAATGTGCTGATTTTGTGCACAGCAGATTTGAGAATTCATTACTAATCACATATTTTTTTAACAAGCATTTCTTAAAAATGTGAGACTCTGGAACTGTTTGGAAATGGTACAGTTAGGTGTTGGACTCTATTTAGTTTGTGCCAGTTTTATATTACATGTCAGATTATTAGTCTGTCACTATATGTTAATAAACTGCATGTCTGTCTCTGTGTCTTTAATCCGTCTTCCACAGCGGTGAGATGTGTGGTATCTGGGCTTTGTTTGGCAGCGATGAGTGCCTGTCGGTTCAGTGCACTTGTGCCATGAAGATTGCTCACAGGGGCCCTGATGCCTTCCGCTTTGAGAATGTCAACGGCTTCACCAACTGCTGCTTTGGCTTCCACCGGCTGGCTATTGTGGACCAGCTGTACGGCATGCAGCCCTTACGCATCAAGAAGTTTCCTTTCCTCTGGCTCTGCTACAATGGAGAAATTTACAACCACCACACGGTAAGGATATGCTAGCTGCAGCCGCGGAGACGTTACTTGGTGGTAGTTCCAGAAACTTACGGAAGAGAAAGCTTGAGAGATAATTATCTTGAGATAATGAGATTTTATCTCCTGATAGTAATGAGATATTATCAGGAGAAAACAATTTTGACTGAACCTCATACACTAAGTCGCAGTAACTCGTTAGCTGATGAGGACTGATGTGAAAATCATCTTGTATAAAAAGACTCCTTGATTGAAATATTCTCAGATGCGTTGATCAGTGTGTCATCCTGACATTTTCACTTTACAAGTATTCATCTGCATCTGATCTCTGATTAACAAAGTAATTATAAAGAGAAAACGAGCTTTGTTATCTCCAGATAACGTGATAATTATCTCCTTATCTCGGGATAACAAATCATGGTTTCTCCTGATAATATCTCGTTATCTCGGGACAACAACCTTTTTTATTTTGAGATAAAAGGATAATAAAATATTTGTGTGTATGGCATTTCTCGGCTTCCTTAGAAACTCCACTGTGGATACCCAAAGACATGATCAACTCCATAGTTAGACTGCAAAACTGTTGCAGGAGTCACATGTTCAAACACAGGAGTGTATCGCAGAACAGTGATATTCATATTAAAGTTCCTGAAGCAAAAACCCACTGCTGCTGACTGCTCTACGTTTCTGGGACAAAGTGACAGAGCAGCATCTTAAAGTTCTAATCTGTAACTTTTCCACATTCAAATGTCTAGAAACATCGACCTTTGTTCTATATGTTGAGTTGTGGTCTTACATTATCACAAATGTTTCCATCAATTATCAAAGCAGTGACATCTGTGATTTTAATCATGGTAACGCTCCGCGTCATTTGGTGGCCTGTCAGTGACATCATATCCTCTATGATGGGTATTGATTCATATTATATCGTCAAATTCTTGCTGATACAAAGCCCTAATGAATCGTGATGACTTTTCCTCTGGTGACATCATCAGGTCAAAATTGTAATTTGTCCTGTACTTTATCAAATACCTGCAAAACTAAAGACTTTTCCAGTTTCATGGTAATTAGCCAGGGTGAATACGCTAACACACTAGAGTCAGAGGGTGAAACCTGTAAACATTAGACCTGCCAAACATCAGCATGTTTATGCAGTGTGTGTCATTGTGATTATGTTATCTTTTGCTTCTTCCTGTCATCATTCAGCTGTAATGGAGCGACTTGATTTTGGAGTGGGTCTATGATGTGAAGAAACTAGATGACCTAAATGTAACTGTTGTGTTGTGTTGTGTTGTGTTGTGTTCGTTCAGCTGAGGAAGCAGTTTGAGTTTGATCACCAGACCAAAGTGGACGGTGAGATCTTACTCCACTTGTACGATCGTTTTGGCATCAAGAAGATGGCCTCTCTGCTGGATGGTGTGTTTGCCTTCATTCTGCTGGACACTGCCAACAGAAAGGTCTTTTTGGGGAGGGATACGTACGGTGTCCGGCCTTTGTTCAAACTCCTGACAGATGACGGCTTCCTTGCAGTCTGCTCAGAGGCGAAAGGTAATGGAATAGTTTATTATCTCTCTTGAATCTGGATCTTTTATTCTCTTCTGAGAAGTGTTTTACGCCTTCTCAGCACTACTTAACTTGTTATTCTGATCACAGGGCTTACGGACATTACCCATGCAATGGCCACCCCAGCCAGCATTGTCCCTTTTCTTCCTGGGCACTTTGAGGCCTTTGATTTGAAGCAGAATGGCAAAGTTCAGTCTGTTCAGATGGAGCAGTTTCACTGCTGCACACAGGAGCCTGTTCATGCTGTCTATGACACTTTGGAGAGACTACCAACAAGTATGGAACTGTTTAGTGTTTGTTAATATTTAGTCATTTGACATTTTGTTTGGCATTTTTTAAAATCTGGTGTCTCCACAGGGTCTGATGAGGAAACGGTGAAAAGCAACATCAGAACCCTGTTTGAGAATGCTGTGAAGAAACGTCTGATGGCTCAAAGGAGAATTGGTTGTCTTCTCTCAGGTAACTTAAAATATTGCATCTATGTACTGAAACACACAGAAGCCCTGAGTGGCAAGAGAAACATTTCTTTGGGGAAGAATGAAAAAAAACAAGCTAGAGAAATGACCCTGACCCAACCCATGTTGTGTTGAATGTTTGTGCCGCATTTCAAGAAGTTCCTTCAAGGCGGACAACCCGAAAAAAGCATGCCCCTGGCGTGGAGGCATAAAGCCACAGAGGATAGGAATCGGAATGAGGGAAAACTTAATAACAGACTGATATTATTTGTTGAAAATGGGCAGCACAGTCTCTGTGGCCAGAGGTGAGCAGAAGCTGGATGAGGAGGGACCAGGGGAAAGGTTGAGGCTGGCAGCTCGAGACAGAGGCTGCGAGAGGAGCTGTTCAGGGCAAGGCAGAGAAGAGAATTGAGAGAGGGAAGCCAGACAGAGACAACAGCCAAGGGAGAGCTGCCAGTCGAGTGTCCAGGCAGAGCAGGAGAGGGATGGAGGCCGGAGTTGGATCAGGGAATGCTGCAGGCAAAGAGATTCATAAAGGCTGGACCGAGGCTACCTGTATACCTGAGTCTACAATCTCGGGGCTAGATTCAAAGACTCTTCTCTGCATATTTAAAGCAGAGAAGATTGAAGATGAGCACTTGCACACCTGATCAGAGTCTATCAGAGTATCTCTGAGTAAACGTGTTACTGTGTTAAAGTTTAAAAGTGGAGGGGTAAGACATCTTATTTGCTGATAGTAATAACATGATAAAACTATTAAATTAAAGAGCATCATTAGGCTGACAGGTGAATCAGTTCACTGATGAGAACAGCACCGAAAGCAACCAACTTATTCCAGTCAGGCTCTCTGCAGCCTGTGCATAAAACTGATAATTACTAATATACACTCAGATGTCAGTTTATTAGGAACATCTAGCTAAAACTGATGTAATCTAATACAGCAGTCCTGCAGTACATCCTCTTTCATGGAGGTTATAATGTTCAGTTTTTATTAAAATAGTTGTAGACAGTTGTTGATTATCATTGTGGAGGATGTAGTGTGTGGAGCTGTGTTACATTATACAGAGGATTTTCTATTATTTAGCCACTTTCACTGATATAAATGGGGTGGACAACATAATAGAAACACCTGGTCGTCATGGTGAGTGTCCTTATACAGCAGTAGTTTTGTGTTGGCATATCGGTTTCATATCGGTCTCCTTGATTACCGGTTATCAATATCGGCCCTGAAAAAAACATATCAGTTAGTCCCTAATTATTATGGCACTGTATTGGTCCGCCCAAAGGGTCTAGCAACTAAGCAGAGTGACCTGGAGACAGGGGCAGCAAGCTCTGCTACTCCTGCATTGGACCTGCTGTACGCTGCAACACAACGCCGGTCAGCCTGACGGCACCAGATGATCCGGGGTTTTGCTCTGGACCCAGGTCCAAGGCTCCGGTGTATAGCTGCACACCAAATCCAGATAGTGCATTTTAGTCTGAATTTGACTGTTGAGCATTGCCATTTGCATTTTGAGTTTTACCAAGCTATAGTAGTAGGCTACAATTTGTTCACAGTCTGAGCTCCAGAGAGAAGCCTGAGAGAGGAGATGTGAAACTACACTGTGGTTCTTTAAACTACAAATATATCTTCTTATGGATCAACACTTCAAATAAAACACAGGAGAAGAGGAAAATATGGAGCTTTCATTTTTGTAGATCTAAATGTTATCTTTAAGTATGTTATTTATAACTTCATTTGCAAATGGTGAAAGCTAGACCTAATTCTAGGAATCTGGAAGGATCTGGATTCAATAAGTGGATACTGGATCTGGATTTGGTATAGTCCATCAGCTAGCTGGTTAGCCAACTGTGAACTGTCGCTGACTGGACAATAAGTTAACACAGTTATTTCAAGAGTCATACGTGTATAAAATTGGATGGTGTGGGGCGATCCAGTGGCCGAAAGATTAGGGCGTGAACCACATGGACCACACTAATGCTCTGAGCAGTGAGTCCCCAGTTCAACTCCCGGCTGGCTGGACCCTTTGCTGCATGTCATTTTCCTACTCTCTCCTTGCATTTTTTGTCTGTCTCTACTGTCTCTATCAAATAAATAAAAAAGATAACTAATAATATTCATAAGTAATAACTAATAATACTAGCTAATTAAAAAAAATTGATGTAATCGTTTACTCCAGTTGGGACTCTCCAGTCCTCTCTGTTCCTTCAAAGGCCAGCACTGTCAGGAAGGTCTGCTGGTGGCCAGTGGTGCAAATTCACATGTTGATAGTGTAAATAGTTATATTTTGCTGCACATATTCTTTCAGGAAACTGAGTTACTTGTTTAATATTTGTGATGCTGTTATCAGCTTTTTCTTGGAAAGTGTTATTGATGAAACAGCTGGGGTCGATGTGGTTTCTGTCAGTGATCCTGTGGTCTTTCCTTCAGGTGGTCTGGACTCCAGTTTGGTTGCTGCTACACTGGTGAAACTGGCCAAAGAGGAGAAGCTGCAGTATCCCATCCAGACGTTTTCAATCGGGTCAGAGGACAGTCCAGACATCATTGCTGCTCGCACGGTCAGTTCTCCTAGCAGCAGTGTTAAAGCTCCATGATGTAAACTCATTTTAGCTTCTTTAATAAGTGAATTAGCCAAACACTTTTTTGTACAGTGTATGGTAAGAAGTCTGATGTGTTTATTTTGTGTTTGTCAGGTTGCAGCTCACATTGGCAGTGAACACCACGAGGTGAACTTCACTGCAGAGGAAGGTATCCAAGCAGTAGAGGATGTCATCTTCCACCTGGAAACTTATGACATCACTACCATCCGTGCCTCTGTTGGTGAGTGCAACATGAAGCACTGTGGGAAACAAATATATTTGATTACATTAATATAGATATACAACCAACAATGGTCTTCAAATTTTGCATAGAGCTGAGTCAACACCTTTCTGATAAAGTCGACAAAAACTGAACAGTGATAAACAAAAATAAAATGTAGGCTGCTACGTTGGATTATATAACACTGTGCAGGTTAAACCAGCATAAACTGGTGGTGAGTGTAGGACATGAAACTTTTTTCTCCTGCATACCAAGTGACATAATCTAATTATCTGAGTGCTTGAATAGAAGTTCTACTGTATGTTATATATACTAAACTTGAATGTTACATTGGTAGTTTAATTATTTAGGCCCATTTAGCACTTACAGTATGTTGCAGAAAAAATCCACATTATTCACACTAGGGTTGTCACGATACTAGAATTTCAAACTCGATACCCAGGGAAATACTCGATACTTGATACCATTTTCGATGCCACGGGGAGAAAAAATTACCCTAACTATACATACATATGACATGCAAATGACATGCAAATGTATTCAGCTACAGCCCTGTTAAGTTTCTGTGCTTCTGGTGACTTTGCACCATATTTTCATTGCTGATCAAATAGAGTTGTAGGGTAGGCTCTGCTGATGTTTCTGTGTAGTTGCTGGTCGACTTTTCTCAGCTTCAATCTGGGACTTTTTCATATGTGTGTATATATATAAAGAGAGAAGGAGAGAGAGAAGTATAACACTTTTCAGACACAAATAACTGTATTATCCTAAATTAAAACCGTCTATTAACATTACAGATGGTTAGGACTGATAATGTTTGCTGCCTAGCTCCCACATTAACGTTAGTCTTTTTATTATTAGCTATAGCCCATAGCTGCTATCTGCTAGCTTAATGATAACTTAAAAGACGGCAGACTGTTGGTATCGATACTGTTGCAAATGAGTACCTAATTCAATATAAATTTTTAGTATCCAAGTATCAATTTTTTTTGACAACCCTAATTCACACATTAATCCACGAGGATTCACAGAAGTTCAGTCCTGTTTCTGTCAGAACAGGTGCACACCAGTGATACTAGACACTAGCAAATGTTATCAACCCGTTTCTTTGTGAGATAATAAGTGATAATTGTATACAGTATGCATACCATGAAATCATGATGTGGATTGTCTGTGTCTGAGAGTTTGAGTCCCTCACAATTCAGCTGATCACAGGGATCACTGATGCTGAATCAGTGCATTCCTCTTCGTCCCGATTTCCCTCAATGAATCACAGTGGAATCCAGTTGGATTAGTTCAGCAGGGGGCAGCGTACGCAGTGTTTACATACTGTGATTAATTTGTGGCAGCCCAGTAACAATATCACCATTCACTGCCTTATATCGATTTTCTTTAATTATTTTTTTTACTATTTCAGATGAATAAAAGCTTATAATTGATTTGCTCAGACCTGTTTGTCATAGTCAGACTGACCATCAGGAGCACTGAGAGAAATCCCACTACATCAGTGGGCTTTCCAAAAATCCATGAAGTTTTTACATATACTGTATATACTTTACTTTAATATTTACTTTAATCAGGAAGTCATATTGAGATGTGATTTGCAAGATCTGATTTTACTGTCCCTGTGTGTCTCGTTACCTTTCCTCTTTGTATGTCTGTCACTCAGGGTGCACATGAGCATGTGCAGCATGTGTGTGCTGTGCCTGGGCTCATTGGTATTCCACCATCACTGAGCTGACCTGAGTCAGTGAGATGGTAATGATAGGTGTGGGTGCATTATAAAATACAACATGACCCAAACAAGAAACTCTGGCAGCCATAAAACAATGACCTAATGATCTTATTTTGAAGTCACAACACATCATACATCATATCTAAACTACACTAAGATAGCATTTGCAAAACATATTGTAATGTATTAACTGTGTATTAATTATGTGATTCATATTTTGGTTTTAACATTTGATAGAAATTTTTGTCATTTGAAGATGTGACCATCACAATCAGAATCAGAAATACTTTATTAATCCCCTGCGGGAAATTGTTATGTTGCAGTGCTCTATTCCACATACACAAATATAATGAAAATAATAATGATAAAAATATATCCCCCCATATTCAAAATATAAAAAAAATTTAAATAATAAATATACCCTGTCAATAATAAACAGACTATATGTGATTTGTACGGCTGAACAACATGGCCAAGTACAATGACCAAAATCAAGAGCTGCAGTTTTTTGATGATAGTTAAATGTGTCACAGCACACCTTTATAAATGAAGCAATGAGTCATTGTGGTGCTGCCCAACCACAAATCATATCCCCAGACATGGTACAGACCCAACATAAATATACATTATCATCATTTTCATATTTTTTTTCAGTGAACATTAAATGATAAAAAATTACCATTGTGACTTAAATCACAATATCTGTCAATCTAATTGCTTAATGACTTTTCTTTAAATATCATTCGGCCCTATTATTTGATATGGTCATTTGTTGATTTGAAAATTTGTAGTTGATATTGCCTCATTTTATTATTGATAGTTGGGCTGATAGTGATAGTTGGACTAATGGGTATTTGATTTGATTTTCGAATGTACAGATCAGTCGAGTAATCTAAATCTAAAGTGCGTAATAAAAAATAGTAATTACAAAATAACACTGGTTAAACAAGACTTAGAGTGAAGGGATTTGAACTGTGATGTGCTAACTAACTAACCAGCTTAACATTATAATTTCTGAAGAATTGTTTTTTGTTTAAATAATTAAGAAAAGAAGAATGAATTCAAAATTGATTGTGCTGGTTTGTTTCAGCCAGTTGCTCAGTTCATACAGACAGCTTTCCTTTTAGCTTTTCATAGCAATTCACTATTAGCTTAACCAGCGTGATGTTGTTGTAAAGAAACCGGGAGATGGCAGAGGAAATAGATGTAAATATCTCTTCTCTGTTTGTTGAACAGGTGTTTGGATAAAGTTCTTATTGGCCTTTTACGTTTTATTGCACTTACAGTAAAGTTCGGAGATAGTTGTCATCAACTCCAGTAATCTACAGTTATCTTTGGTTCACCTGGTTCCATGTCCATGCAGCCTCTGCTCTGCTGTTTTGTGTGTGTGTGTGTGTGCGCGCGCGCGCGTGTGTGTGTGTGTTATCATCTCTAGCTCGAATGAACACTCAGGACATAAGGGATTTCAGCCAGGCTGAAGAAAACATACAAAACTGCGTCTGGTCAGTTTATAAATGCAAAGAGCCTTGTCCTACCTCATTAATCTACTTTCATATCGAATTGTGTTTATAAGCTTTACAAGCCAGGTTCAAGGTTGAAGACAATAGAATAATCAAGGATATACAGTTCTTTCTTGGAAAACACAATAGCATAAAGATATGTTGACGTTTTCAACAGGCGGAGCGCAGAGATGAAATAAAGACTTCAACCTTTTAACACATCACTTGATTGTGCTATTGATATGTCTTATAAAGTATATAACTTCATCCTGTGCCTCAGCAGTTGGAAAAACTCATTGAAGGAACTAGACAAGTTAACTCTTCTTTTATAGACAGCTCTCCTCATCACAATAAGTTCATATGGTAGTGCTGAAAAGCAGCAACAGCACAAAAGCTAAGGACCCGTTTGCTTATTCGTCCTCTGCTGCCCCAAGTCCCACCCAAGTTGCACTCTTCTTACATGAATAGCGTGATCTATTACCCAAATAATAAAAATACAGTATCATAAAAGAAGCATTGAAATATAAAATGCCAATAACTGATATCGGTAGTAATACCCATTACTATTGTGATTATTTGGGCTGCTGTATGAGATCAGTTAAGTTCTTGGAATCCATTCGACATCTAGCGCTACAGACAGAGAGTTCCGTGAAAGGTGGCTAGAATTGTTTCAAATGAGGACTACACATGACAGATCACATTCGGATTATGAGAACAGCGTGCATACCTAAACGCCGTCTTGCAAATACCTTGGCCTTCCGTCGGCCAAACATTCAATTGGCCTTGGAATAAAATTCTTGGTCAATTATCAAAATTTTTAAAATCACGATATAACTAGCAAATTCAATGTTAATATTACCGTTTCCCTACATTGATCTATTATTTGTGGTGGGATTAACTGCAAAAATATTTTTATTTTCTATTTTTCCATTTATGGTCATCATACTTACCTCTGTCCTCACCACCAC